GCTATCCACTAAGAGGCCCAAGGTCCCGAGGTCGCCTCAGGGTAAGTGCGAGGGGTTAGGATGTCAAGGGCGTGTAGGTCACCCTTAGGGACTAGCAGCATGGAACAGAGATTGGGAGAGGCCTCAGATAGGAAAGCAAGCTCGTACTGCCTGTCCTCTAGGACGTCACTGCCAAGGGCAGGTGCACCCTCGACGGACGGAGGGCAAGCTGGTCCAGAGCCCAGAGCTGTGGCGTAGTCAAAGCAGCGGGTAGAGGCGAAGTCAACGACATCAACGACAAGAGCGTCAAGACTCGAGACAGGAGGAGACGGGTCAGTAACAAGGGAGGCAATGACCTGAGGAACAAGAGGACTAGTGGCATGAAGGTAGTCAGACAGAGGAGGCGGAGCGACAACGAGCGATGCCGGAGGAGGCCAGGGGAGGAGGGGGGGATGAGATGCGTGGGAACATAGCAACATCGGGTGAGAGCGTTGGATAGGAGAGACAGGACGAGCACGAGAGGGACGGCGAGACCAGCAGTGGGACGGAGGCGTCAGGTCAGGAGACACAGGAGGGGACACAAGAGGGGAATAAGGGGGGAAACAAGCCGAGGATGAGTCCGGGGGAGGAAACACAGGGCCGTAGACAGGCAGAGGAGGCAACGGCATGACAAACGGGAGCGGGTGGTCAGGGGAGGGAAGGCAGAGGAGGCAAAGGGAGGACACCGACGGCGACTGCTGCTGCTGTTGCTCCACGCCAACACCAGGACCGCCAGCTACACCACTCCATCACCCCCAGAACGAGAACCCTCTCCAGCACTGGTGCCACCCCCAAGACCGATGCGACAAGCCACGACAAGAACACTAGGACTAGCACCTCCAGAACCAGGACCCCCGTAACGAGAACCCTCTCCGGCACCGGTGCCACCCCCAGGACCGAAACGATAAGCCACGACAGGAACCCCAGGACAAGCACCCTCCTCAAGGCCCGCATCCCCAGAGTCCATGGACGGCTGCTGCTGCGGTGGCGACGGCGGCAGCTGCTGCTACAGCTGCGACGACGGCTGCGGCTGCTGCTGTAGCCACGATGGCGGCGGCTGCTGCAATATCGGAGGAGGAGACACCGGGGGAATCATAGGTGGTGAGAACTGCGCCGCGGGTCCACCTGAGTCAGCCGACTGCTCGATCGGGACAACCGAAGAGAGGGGAGTGACGTGAAACACATCAGACAAAGCAGGATGGGGAGGGAGGAGAGCAGGGGCTACCTGGGGAGTGGGAACCAAAGACAGGGGCGGGGAGACTGGGAGACCTCGGTGGGGAAAGCGGTGACAAAATGAAATAGACTCGTCGAAAGTGACCTCATGGGAGTGAAAGAAGTGATGAGACGACGGGTGGTAAAAGTGCCAGTCAGACGAGTAAATGGGGAAACCGAAGAAGACATAGGGGACAGTACGGGCAGTGAGCTCGTCCGTGACATAGGCACAAACGTGAGCATGGCAGCGCCAGACATGGAACGCGGGTGCATCACCGGGGAACTCAGTCCAAAGAAGGGTTGGCGAAACCTGCGGCCGCTGGGAGTGCGGCCACAGGTTAAGCTGGTGAGCGGCGTAGCGAACGGCGAACGGCCACAGAAAATGGGGTGCTCCGGTATGGATCTTGGAGGTACGAGCCACCTCCATGACCATGCCGATGTGTCGCTCAGCGACCACATTCTGCTGTGGGGAGTCTGGTAGGGTGTACGACTAGGTGATGCCCTCCGCAAGACAAAACTGTCCAAGTTGGCCAGAGGCGAACTCGCCGCCACGGTCAGAGTGGAGACACAACACAGTGAGACCGCAGTGGAGGCACGCAACTACGACCTAAGGGATAAGGAAATCAGGCACGTCGGCCTTCCGCTCCAATGGGAACACCGAGGTGTAGCGCGTGTAGTCCTCGACGAGCACGAGAAAGTAGCGCTCGCGATGCGGTCCAAGGACGGAGGCCAGGCCCCACACGTCCAGGTGCAGGGTCTGCAGTGGCGCAGTGGTAGGGCAAAGCGAGGAGGAGTGAGGGGCACGGCACAGTCGTCCCTTGATACAGGGAGTGCACGGCGGTGCAGGCGATGGAGGAAGGGTGTAAGAGTACGATCCCGTTCCATTCCTTTCTCCTTTCCATTTCATTCCCCTTTCCATCTTGATCCATTTGGTTTTTATCTCATTCCATTTGGATTCCTATTTCCCCTTTTCCATAAACCTTTGGTTTATCCTATTATTATCATTATATCACCGACCAGGCTCGTGATGTACATGTGCGCTATATCTAGCGTAATCCTGCCATAATCCCTTAAAGCCAATAGCATCGCGTGGCTATACGCAGGGTGATTCTATCTTCTAGAAGGGTCTATTCCCTTGGGATAAGGTAAACCTGTACTTTGGAAGTATAAAAGCACCTTGTACTCATCAATAGTGCAACTTTTCCTCGAGACATTCGATCTTGTGACACTTGGTAATCAGAGCTTTTCTCACTCGACCGCGCTCAGCTAAGCAGCAGCAGCGGGAAAATCCTGCCTCGAAAAACCGCCGGGGGCGACCAATTCGACGTCGATTCTGGTAAGCACCAGCTCCGCGCTTTTTTGAATTACCTCCCCCCCCCCCCCCCGCGCGCGTGTTTTGAACAGGATGGCGAACTCCGACAACACCGAGGTTACCCAGCAGCTCTTCGCGCGCATCACAGCCCTTCAGGAGGAGATGCGAGTGGATCGCGACGTGTGGCGAAATGAGTTCGAGCGAGTAACTCGACTCGCCCGAGTGCAACACAAAACGACAAGAGCGACGACGCAGCAGTCGCAACAGTTCCTCGAGGCTCCGAAACCGCGCCCACCTGAGTCGTTCGATCCGAGCGATAGAAACTCCGACGTCCGCAGATGGGTCGCCGGCATGGAGATCTACTTCGCAGCCGTCGGATGGAGCTCGCCAGCCTGGGACGGTCAACGCGTACGACTCGCAGCGACACTGATGCGAGGGCGTCACTCGAGTGGATCGGCGGTAACAGCACCTTCATCCACGGCGAAGCCACGTGGCAGCGGTTTCGCACCGACCTGCTCAAAAGTTTCGAGCCGATAAATTCGGGTTTCCTTGCCCGCGAAAAAATTCATCGCCGTCGACAGTTCGGGGGTGTAGCACAGTACACGCAGCAGATGGAGGAATTTTATAACCGCATTCCCGACCTGACCGAAGGGGAAAAAGTACAATCATACCTCGCCGGGCTGAAGACCGAAGTCAAACGACAAGTGGCAGCGACAAATTACACGAGCTACAGTGACGTCGTGTCGGCCACGGAACGCTTCGACATGGTCAACGCCGGAACATGAAAGACGCACATCGGCAGTATGCGACAGGGCGACCGCTCGGCTCACACCACGTTCGCCGACCCGATGGACGTCGACAGGTTGGAAGGGCAGCCACGTCCGAAAAACACCAACTACACGTGTGATTTTTGCGGGGTGCCGGGTCATCGAATCTTCGACTGCAACAAAATGAAAACCGCACGTGCTGAGTATGGGGCACGCAACTGTGGAGGAAATCCTTCGGCCAATAAGAAACAAAAAACGGAACTCGCCAGTGATTGCGGATCTAGCTGGCGGAAAAGAAAAGATCCGAAAGCGGCCGCGGACTTCCGGAAAAATCAACTTCGACGCAGCTGATTCGACGGGAACAGGAGAAAATGATGGGGAAAAATCTCCAACCCACGACCAGTCTTTGCAAGAGGATATCGCCGAGGAAAAATCTAACTCCGCGAAAAAGGACTCTGCCTAGACGGGTAAACTCTTTGAAGACCCAACAAATTATAAGGATTCGTTAAAGTTCTCTTACAAAGATGCTTTAATGAAAACTTGTAATTCTCGAGGGGCTAGAGCCTTGGAGAAATTTCGGGAGGGACTCCAGAAGAAGCAGAAAATTGTGGAGATCGTACCGGTACCGGCGAACTTGGGGACCAAATTAAGGAGTGTGGAAAGAAGCCGACCTTTCCACGGAGTCAACGTCCTCTCCCGACACCAGCCCACAACGACTACCCGTTCCCCAGGGAAGACGTCGGTGGAGCTGAAGCAGCTCAAAAGGAAGCTGGGGGTCTACAAGAAGCTGCAAAAGCCCCGAACTCCTTCTTCTTCGGATGCATCCAACTCGGCAACTTCGTCAACGACACGAACAGCCGTCACGGAAAATCCGGGCCCAGGAGAAGAGCCTTTCTCCAAGCAGCCTCGGCCAGCTGCCAGCTCAGGAGTAGGGAGCAATGAATATTGGGATGTACCCTATGACCCAATCAATGAAACTATCTTTGGGTACTCCGAGCAACGCCCGCCCCTCGTGCTCGAGGTCATCTGCAAAGGAGGACGCCTCCAAGCACTCGTGGACAGCGGAGCATCGCACACTGTATGCGACAAGGCAACCATCGACCGACTTCGAGAAGAGTACAAGCCATCAGCGTTTTCTGCAACGATGGTGGATGGCAGCAAGTTACCAGTGTACGGCGAAGCAGTGCTACACCTAAAAAGCGGTCCACTGTGCTGGAAACCTGCTCTCCCCATCACCAACATAAAAGGGCTTGACCTGATCTTCGGGCGAGACTTCCTCAAGAACTTCAACCCCGAGATCAACTGGGTAAACCGCACCGCAAGCATCTACAACAAAGGAAGGAGAGTCCAGCTACCCAACTGGGACGATACAAGAGATATCCCAGTGGAGACACTCGCCAGATTCGAGAAGGACGTGAAACGAACCGACACCGGGTTCCTGGCGATAGCAACAGAGGTGGAGAATGACGGAGAGAAAGCCTCGGAACCTCTTGAAAAAATCAAGGACTTACTGAAGGAGTTCAAAGACATTCTTCCCGACGACCTCCCGGACGAACTACCGTGATACCGAACGCACCAACACGAGATCGTAGAGGAACCATGTTCGAAACCGACCTTCCGAGCACCATATCGGCTAAGCCCCACAAGACTAGTCGACATGAAGAAGCAGATCGAGTATCTCCTCGCCAAAGGACTCACCCGACCATCCACTTCGCCATACGGTGCCCAAGTGCTCTTCACACCGAAACAGGACGGAAGCCTGCGCATGTGCATCGACTACCGAGCTCTCAACAAGCAGACCATCAAGAACAAATATCCGATACCACGAATCGATGACCTGCTTGACCAGCTTCGGGGAGCTACGGTATTTTCAAAACTAGATCTACGGTCCGGATACTGGCAGATAAGAATGGCGGACGATTCCGTTCACAAAACTGCCTTTCGAACTCGATACGGATCGTACGAGTATTTGGTCATGTCGTTCGGACTCACCAACGCACCTGCAACATTCCAAGCAGAGTTGAATCATATCCTACGCCCACTGTTGGACGAATGCGTGGTGGTGTACCTCGACGACATCCTCATCTACTCGCGCGACATGCAACAACACGTCGAGCACCTACGACGCGTCTTCGAAATTCTTCGACGAGAACGCTTCTACGTCAAACTATCCAAGAGCGACTTCGCCCTCGAGAAGGTCCAATTCCTCGGACATATCGTAAGCGCTCCAGGAGTTCACGTCGACCCCAAGAAAATCAAAGTCGTGCGTACGTGGAAGACACCCGAGAACGTAAAGGAGTTACAGCAGTTCCTTGGCTTCGCTAACTACTATAACAGGTTCGTGCCACAATACGCGAAGATCGCCACGCCACTCACGAATCTGTTGAAGAAGAACACGCCCTATAACTGGGAACCAAGACATCAAGAAGTCGTGGAGCAGCTGAAACAAGCACTCACGTCTGCACCCGTACTCATCTTGCCAGACCCCGAACGCGACTACGTCATTGAAGCTGACGCCAGTGACCAGGCAGTGGGAGCAGTCTTGATGCAAGACCAGGGGAATGGCCTGCAACCAATTGCCTACCTCAGCAAAAAATTACATGGAGCGGAACTCAACTACCCGATACACGACAAGGAGACCCTTGGTATCATCATCGCTTTCAAAACGTGGAGATGTTATCTCGAAGGGCGCAAGACGACAGTCTACACCGACCATTGTAGCCTAAAATATTTGAAGACGCAACCAAGCCTCTCCAGGCGGCAGGTCCGGTGGATTGACTTCCTCGAGACACACTTCTACTACGATATCGTGTACAAGCCCGTCCACAAAAACAAAGCAGACGCCCTTAGCCGGCCCGCACACGTTGCCGCTATCCAAGTTCAAGGGATGAATCCACTCCTCAAGGGACTCTTCACACACGAGTACACCATGGACCGCGAAATTCCCTTGGCAGAAAAGCGACATCTGCTACAGTGGGACAACGACATCGCGTACCGAAAAGGATTATAAGCTCGGCTTCGTTCCACACTCCTTAATTTTGTCCCCAAGTTTTTCGGTACAAGTATGATCTCCACAAGTTTTTGCTTCTTCTTGAGTCCCTCCTGAATTTTCTCCAAGGCTCTAGCCCTTTGAGAATCATAAGTTTTCATCCTTATAAGATAAATTTAACGAATCCTTAAAATTTCTTGGGTCTTTTCGGAGTTTTCCTGTCTCGGCAGAGTCCTTTTTCGCGGAGTGATTTTTTCTCTGCGATTTTCTCTGGCGAAGACTGGTCGTGTGGTGGAGATTTTTCCCCATCATTTTCTCCTGCTCGCGTCGAATTTGCTTCGTTGGAGTTGATTTTCCCGGAATCTCACGGCCGCTTTCGGATATTTTCCTTTTCTCCAGCTAGATCGGCAAACACTGGCAAATTCCGTTTTTTGTCTTCTGATTGGCTGAAGAATTTCTGCCACTGTTGCGTGCCCGATACTCTGCTCGTGCGGCTTTCATTTTGTTGCAGTCGAAGATTCGATGGCCCGGCACCCCGCAAAAATCCCACGTGTAGTTGGTGTTTTTCGGACGTGGCCGCCCGTCGAACCTGTCGATTTCCATCGGGTCGACGAACGTGGGGTGAGCCGAGCGGTCGCCCTGTCGCGTACTGCCGACGTGCGCCCGTCGTGTTCCGGTGTTGACCATGTCAAACCGCTCTACTGACAAAACGACGTCACTTTAGCTCGCGTAATTTGTTACTGCTACCTGTCGTTTGACTTCGGTCTTCAGCCCGGCGAGGTACGATTGTACTTTTTCCCTTTCGGTCAGGTCAGGAATGCGGTTTTAAAATTCCTCCATCTGTTGCGTGTACTGCGCTTCACTCCCGAATTGTCGATGGCGATGAATGTTTTCCCGGGCAAGGAAACCCGAATTTATCGGCTCGAAGCGTTTCAGAAGGTTGGTGCGGAACTGCTGCCACGTGGCTTCGCCGTAGATGAAGGTACTGTTACCGCCGATCCACTCGATTGCCGGTCCTTGCATCAGTGTCGCCGCGAGTCGTACGCGTTGACTGTCCCAAACTGGCGAGCTCCATCCGACGGCTGCAAAGTAGATCTCCATGCCGGCGATCCATCTGCGGACGTCGGAATTTCGATCACTCGAATCGAAAGGCTCAGGTGGGCGGGGTTTCGGAGCCTCGAGAAACTGCTGCGACTGCTTCGTCGTCGCCGTTGCCGTGTCGTGCTGCGCGTCGGCGAGTCGAGTAACTCGCTCGAACTCGTTTCGCCAAGCTTTGAGATCGGCTCGCATCTCCTCCTGAAGGGCGGCAATGCTCGCAAAGAGCTGTTGGGTAACCTCAACGTTGTCAAGGTTCGCCATCCTGTTCAAAACACGCGCGGAGCGGTTAATTAAAAAAGCGTGGAGCTCGTGCTTACCAGAATCGGCGCCGAATTAGTCGCCCCCGGAGGATTTGCAAGGCCTGTTTTCCCCCTGCTTCTGCTTAGCTGAGCGCAACTGAGTGAGAAAAGCTCCGATTACCAAGTGTCACATGATCGAATGCGTCGAGGAAAAGTTGCACTATCGATTGATACAAGGCACTTTTATACTTCCGAAGTACATCAGGTAACTAGGTTTATCATATCCAAAGGGAAAAGACCCTTCTAGAAATAGAATCACCTTGCGTATAGCCACGCAAGGCTATTGACTTTAAGGGATTACAGTAAGATTATGCTAGATATAGCGCGCCAGTACATCACGAGCCTGGTCGGTGATATAATTATAATAATAGGATAACCCAAAAGATAATGAGAAAGGAGGAATAGAAAACCAAATGGGATGTGAGAAAGATAAAAAAAATCGGGATAATTAGAAGAATGAGGTAGAGAAAAAATATGGAAATGAGAAAGAAATGTAACGGGGTCGTACTCTCACAGACGGGGCGCCTGTTACGGGCCGTAGACGGGGCGCCGGAGGAGGCACTCGGTCCTAGGAGGGAAGGTACCGGTGAAGCCTTGCGGACGGCGGAGGTAGACCTGCTCGTGTTGACTACCCTGGAGAAAAGTAGTGGAGAAGTCGAGGAATTGTAACTCGTAGTCACGATGTGCTGCTACGTATAGCAGCGCCCAAAGAGTAGTCATCTTCGGGGTCGGGGCGAAGGTCTGAAATAAGTCCACCCCCTCTCACTGACTGAAGCCTCTAGCCACGTAGCGCGCCTCGAACACAGGCGGCTCTCTAAGGGGGCGCTTCACCCTGAAGAGCCACCGGCCATCGACTACGTTCACCCCAGGTGGGGGAACTGCGTCGACGTAGGTGCTGGTGGATCTCCAAGATGCCATCTCCTGCTCCATGGCAGCTATCCACTGAGAGGCACAGGGTCCCGAGGTCGCCTCAGCGTAAGTACGAGGGGTCGGGAAGTCAAGGGCGTATCGGTCACCCTCAGGGACTAGCAGCATGGAGCAGAGACGGGGAGCAGCCTCGGACAGGAAAGCAAGCTCGTACTGCTTGTTCTCTAGGACGTCATTGCCAAGGGCAGGAGCACCTCCGACGGACGGAGGATAGACAAGGACAGAGACCAGAGCGGTGGCGTAGTCAAGGTGGCGGGTAGAGGCGAAGTCAGCGACAGCAGCGTCAAGAGCGTCAAGACTCGAGACAGGAACTGACGGGTCAGTAACGAGGGAGGCAAGGACCCGAGGAAGCAAGAGGACAAGCGGCACGAAGGTAGTCAGACAGTGGGGGAGGTGTGACAGCAAGTGACGACGGAGGAGGCGAAGGCAGGAGGGGAGGACGAGACGCGTGGGAACGAAGCAACATAAGGTGAGAATGCTGGACAGGGGAGACAGGACGAGCACGAGAGGGACGGCGAGACCAGACGTGAGACGAAGGCGTCTGGTCAGGAGATAGAAGAGGAGAGACAAGAGGGGAACGAGGGGGAAGACGAGCCGGAGACGAGTCCGGCGGAGGGAACACATGGCCGTAGACAGGAAGGGGAGGAGGCGGCGGGGGAGGCACATGTGAGCGGTCAGGGGAGGGAAGGCCGAGCAGGCGAAGGGCGGACACCGGCGGCGACTGCTGCTGCTGCTGCTCGATGCCGACACCGGCACCGCATGCATTTTTCCCGCCTTGCTGTTTCATGCCTAGATCTGGGCGCTTTGCGCCAATTTAAAAACCACACGTCTCAGCTAGACCGAGCCTAGATCGTGTGCTCTAGGCCTAGCTATATGCATATCCCTTGTTGTTTTGATGCCTAACTGTATTGTTTACTCTCCACTCAACTATTCGACACACGCTCTTTTCGCTTCATTGCAGCTTTATAGAGCCTCAATATGCCCAGTGTCGTCTCGACTCGAATCTGTTCTCCACCAACTTGAGCAGCGGCAAGTCCTGGATCCATCTTCAACCGATCCCAACCACCCAACTAACTACAGATTCAACTACTCAACACTGCGGTTTCCCTTCCTCGCTCATTCATCGAGTCCACCCACTTTCCACCCCCATCGTCTCTTAGTGGCCACTATTCAAGTAGGTGTTTTCACGCTATTCCACGCGATGCCCCACTCTCCGAAGCGGAGCTCTGTTCTGGAGCCGATCATACTATGGGTGCGATCGTCTCCTCAACCATCCATGGCGTGATCGACGACGCACTCGCTCTCCAAGGGACAAAAGCACTCGTTTTTTAAGTTTTGCTCCTACGTTGGGAATTACTAGCCACGTTCGTTTTCAGATACGATCGACCAAGTCATACACGCTTTCTCTTTCAGCGTAAGCGGATCTAAAGACGAGAAAGCTAGCACTGCCACCACTTTCAACACCACTCACGTCTCCAATCCATTCCCTCTCGCTTCCACTGCAACAGTAAAGCCCGCTCGTCGCGTTTCCACGCCGCTCCGCGTTTTCCGCTCCGCGTTTCATTTCCTCTCTCCGCATTCCACTCCGCGCGTCCCCAGCCATGCGCTCGTCTACCCGTGATCGCCGCGCTACCTCCGGCTTCGGTGCCTTCGACTGGGAGCTCCCCTCCGCTCCCCCTTCCGCAGCGGCTTCCGCCTCCCATGCCTCCGCCCGCTTCCCCTCCGCCGCCGGTGGTTCCGCCACGCGCCGATCCAACGCCTTCTATTTCTCTAGCTCCTCCGCCGCAAAATCCGCAACCGCTAGCGCCGGCGGCGGCGGCGGCGGCGGCGGCGCTGCTGGCGCCGGCTTCGGCGGAAGCGGAGGGTGGCTCTTTCCTAGTCTAGTTAGCTTCGGCGGCGGCGGCGGCGGCGGTGGGCGGTCTAGAACGTTCTCCTTGTCTGGTAGATCTCCTTTTGGAGGGGTAGGGGGTTATTCTTCTCTCGGCGGTCCGCAGTCCGCGTTTGGCGGGCCTCAGTACCCGTCCTCGTCCCTGTCGTCCGTCTACTCTCTCCTGCTGCCGTGCACGTGCCTGTTCCTGGGGTTCCTTCTCGCGTCGTTCATTTTCCTGAGCTCTAGATCGCTGATTGCCGCACCGGCATGGGTTGGGATGCACGGGCAGAAGCAGCAGCTGGGGCAGCACCAGGAGCGGGGGGAGCAGATACCACTGCAACGGCACCCACAGCAGCAGCAGCAGGAGGAGGGGGAGGGCCAGGAGAATGTCTTGTTTCCTACTGATAGTAGCAGTAGTGGAATTGATAGTGGTGTTAATGGTGGTGGGAGTGGGAATGATGCAGGGGAGCTGGGCGAGGGCGGCGGGGAACAGAAAACCGAGAAAAGCAGACGTTTTGGCCCGCCGGACTCCGTTAAGGAAGAGAAAACAGACGGGCAGGGGCAGGAAGAGGAAGCGGAAGAGGGAGTGCGAGAGGGAGCGGGAGAGGATGTGGTAGAGAGCCAGGCGGAAGGGAAGCTAAGGGAGGCTGAAGCGATGCTGGAGGGTGTGGGGAAGGAGAGGGAGAGACGGGAGGAGGCGCACCTAGACGCGATAATGAAGAGGCTGGAAGGTGGGGGAGAGGACGAGGGGGTGGGTGTGTCAGGTGGAAGGAAAAAGGAGAAGAAGAAGAAGAAGGAGAAGAAGAAGAGAGGGGTAGAAGAGGAAGAGGAGGAAGCAGTAGTTTCTTGGAAGGGAGGTGGAAGAGGCGATGGTGAGAAGGGGCAGGAGGAAGAGGAGAAGATTGGGGGTGAGGGTGAGAAGAAGGGGAAGGACGAGGAGGAAGAGAGTGGGGAAGAGAGTGAGAAACAGAGTGGGAAAGAGAGTGGGAAAGAGAGTGGGAAAGAGGAAGGCAAGGAGGAGGAGATTATTGAAGAGCTTTTGAAGGGGATTGAGGGAGTTGGTGAGGAGGAGGAGGAGGAAAAGGGAAGCAAGGGCAAGGGCTCAAAGGGTTCAAAGGTCAATGGAGGTGAAGGGAAGCATATAGGGGATGCTAAGAAAGGCAAGGCTGTAGAGGCGGAGTCACAGGAAGAGGAAGAGGGGAAAGCAGGAGAGGAGGTGGATGAAGAGGAGGGAAAGGATACGGAGGAGAAGAAGGAAGGCGAGGAGCAAGGGGGGAAGCTAGAGGGTACAGGTGGAGGGGCGACGTTGAGCGGGGATGAGAGGGGGAAGGGTGAGGGTGGTGCAGGAGAAGTTGGAGATGGTGGGGATTCTGAAAGCACTCATGGGAATGGGAGTAACGAGCCAGGCGGTGTGGGGGAAGAAGAAGCTTCGGCTTCCCAAGAGGGGGGAGGATTAGGGGGTGGCAACAGAAATGGGAGCACAGGTGGTGACGCAACTGGTGGGATTTCAGGTAGAGAATCAGGTGTTTCTTCAGTGGATGAGCAGGGAGAGGCGACGGCAGGAGATGGTGGAGAGGGAGGGGGCCAGGGGAGCAGTGAGGAGGAGGGGGGAGTTGAAAGCACGCCTGGGGAGGGGAAAGGTGGTGAAGAACTGGGAGAGGGGGAAAATGGGGGAGGGGAGGAGGGCGGGGTTAGCCAAGAGGAGGAGCAGAAGGGAGCTCCAGATAGCAGCAGTGGGGATGAGGGTGATGGTGACAAAGAAGCCTCTCTAGGAAAGAGCAGTGAGGGAATTGAAGGCAGGAAAGGTGGCTCTGCACCTGCTGCTGCCGCACCTGCAGTTGATGCTGCTGCTGCTGGTGATGCTGCTGCTGCTGCTTCCCTGCCTGCCCCAGCCATGGCGTCTGCAGCACCTAGCTCGGTGGACGAACAAGCAGGAGAACAGCACGGTTCAGAGGGGTCTGAGGTTGGGTCCCAGCAGCATGGGCAGGAAACCCAGCAGGGCGAGAATCAAGTAGTAGAACAGCAGCAGCAAGGTGCAGGGGAGGATCCCAGTACCAAAGGCAGTGTTGCGGTTGAGGAGGACAGTGCTCCAGCTGGCACCACTGCTGCTGCTGAGGGCTCTGTTCCTTCTGAAGAACCAGCTAACAGCTCGCTCCACACTGTGGTGGCCTCTGGGAATGCCATGCCCGAAGCCTTGGTGTCTGAAGCGCCCTCGCCAGACTCGTCCTCCTCCCAATCTCAGGACAGCACCAAGAAGGGCATGTTTTCATGGCTGGGGTTCTGATAGGTATTTCGCCCGTTCTGCTCTAGTTTTCTTGGCGGTTCCCCAACCCCACCCAACCCCCTTGCGTTGTCACAGCGTGATGTGACTACGGACGGACGGACACCACAAGTACGGCAGCACAGTCTGGTTACGGCATGTGAATTGGATATGGTTAAGATTATCTCGTAGTGATTTTTTCTTCATTGTGTGAAGTCAAGGCTGTGGAGAAGGAAGATCTTCGTCGGCGCATCCTTTTACACCTTGCATTTCAAGTCTTATTTCTAAACAAACCGCAGGATATCATACAGAGAATTTATTGTGTTGCACAATCATCATTGCAGGCGCTAAACAGCCGCTTTCTAAAACGGGTACAACATCCCAACCTTTTGATCCCCTGCTTCAAGGGCTAGCTAGAACCCCCTGCCCAGACTGCACCTTACAGTACGTGCTTTTCCAACCCAGCCTCAAGCAGAGCTTTCAGGCTTAGGGTTTAGAACTAATTACCCCAAGCCTCACCCCTTTCAACCCCCAGTCCCCCCCACAAACCCGCGAGAGAGACACGACGACAACACCGCACGCACCACCTCGTAACCCCAGCCTCCACCCGCGTTTCGAATTTAGACCTTCAGGCCCAGCTCCGCGCGCGCGGTTCACGAGTACCTGTTTCCGCGATGATTCGGCGCAACGCGCGGCTGCGCCGCGAGTACCTGTACCGCAAGAACCTAGAGGGCAAGGAGCGCGTGCAGTACGAGAAGAAGCTCAAGATCCGCCAGGCGCTGCAAGGTGATAATAAGAGGTCTTCGGACAGATCCTTAGGCGATAAACCCAGAAAGGGACGTGAATTCCGCGAAGAAGCAAGTTGGAAAATCTGTGGAAACTCAAAGGCTTGCGCGTGCTGCACGAGACGCAGCTCAAGATCCGCCAGGCGCTGCAAGGTGCACGAACTATGCGCTGCATGCTGCGCGCTCCGCCGCTTGCGCTTCGCGCTAGTTTCGACAGTTACTAGTCGTTCACTCGTCTTACCCCGTCCGTCTGACTAGTCTCTCTGTTCATGCCAGGCGATTTTCCCTACGTTTTCCGACCTCCTCGGTCGCTACCTTTTCTCCCTTTCCCGAAACCCCTTCGGTCTTCCTTTGCCCTTCAGTATCCCTTTTCCGGAAACCGTCCTCGTCCCCTCCTCCGTTTTCGTGAAATTCTCCCTAAATCCCAAGCCACCTACTGGTAAAAAAGGTGACTTTTGAGTCGACTCAAAAGTCACCTCGTAAAATTCTCCCTAAATCCCAAGCCACCTACTGGTAAAAATACCCCCTGCTTTGCTTCCCGCTCCCCCCACCAACTTGCGTCCCGCCCCTCGCAGAGGGCCGGCCGGTTCCCACGGAGCTGCGCAACGAGGCGCTGGCGCTGCGAGACGAGATCGACCTTGAGGACGATTACACCGCGGGTAATGGAAGAGAAAAGGGGGGGGGGGAGGGTTTACGGGGGGAGAGAGGGGGGAGGGGGGGGGGAGAGGGGGGGGAGAGGGGGGGGAGAGGGGGGGAGAGGGGGGGGGAGAGGGGGGGAGAGGGGGGGGGGAGAGGGGGGGGAGTGGGGGGGAGAGGGGGGGGAGAGGGGGGGGAGTGGGGGGGAGAGGGGGGGGAGTGGGGGGGGGAGAGGGGAATGGGAGCTTGTGAAGCCTGGCGCTCAGAGACGGGACGACCTCGAGGCGGACGTGGGATAGAAGTCGTGAAGTCGTGTTTTGAGACGACTCAAAACACGAGGACAGCTGTGGCGCGGGTAATGGGAGGAGAGGATGAGGAGAGGAGGAGAGGAGGAGAGGAGGAGAGGAGGAGAGGACGAGAGGAGGAGAGGACGAGAGGAGGAGAGGAGGAGGAGGAGTGTATGCGATCGGGGGGAAAGGGATTGAAGAGGGAGAGGGGGGAGGGGGGAGGGAAGGGGGTAAAAGGATTGGAACCTTTGAACTTGTGTCATGGAGTTTTGAGGTGCTGCAAAGGGGGGTTGGGTTTTAAGGAGCTGAATAACGGTGGTGAATCGCCATTGCGTTCAATGGGAGGACAGCAACCCTCTCACTCTCTCTTCTCGTCGTCATACATGATACACCCTCCTCACCCTCAGCCTCCCCCTTTTCTCCCCACCCCTCCCCCCCCCCCTCCCCTCCCCCCCCCCCCCCCCGCCCCCCCCACCCCTTCCCCTCTGCGCCTGTTGCTCACCGCCCGTCCCCTTCTCCTCTTCCTCTCCCCCTCCGCTCCCCCCCCGCTCCCCGTCCTCCCTCCCTTCCGTTGGCTCATCGCCCCAGAGCCGCGGTCGCACGTGGACGACGAGTACGTGAGGGCGGGCGAGGAGGACCCGCGGCTGCTTCTGCTGCTCACCCCGTGCCCTCTACACCTCTGCTCCCAACTCCCCGCCACCCCCCCCATCCCCCCCTGACCTGCGAACCCTGCTCTTCAGAGCCGCGGTCGCACGTGGACGACGAGTACGCGAGGGCGGGCGAGGAGGACCCCCGGCTGCTGCTGACGACGTCGCGCGACCCCAGCAGCCGCCTCACGCAGTTCGTGAAGGAGCTCAAGATCGTCTTCCCCAACGCGCAGAGGATCAACCGCGGAGGCCAGGTACGTCCGTGTGTTGTTCTTTAGCCGCTTTGACGGAATTCCGTGAAGGAGCTGAAGAAGATAGTGATGCTTCCCCCCAACGTGTTGAGGATCAACTGAGGAGGCCAGGTGAAGGAATTCCGCCTGCTGCTGGGCTGCTGCTGCTGCTGCTGCTGCTGCTGCTGCTCCCCAACGTGTCGAGGATTAGCTGAGGAGGAGTCCAGGTGAGCTAGCTCTCAAATGCTTTTCAAAAGGAAAGAAGAAGAAAGGTGTTTGGGAGCGAAGCAATGAGCTAAGGGGAGGAGACCGGTTAAATGGATTTTTGCGCTCCCACCGAACACTCCCCTCCACTCCGGGTTTCCCTTCCCTCCCCTCTGACCCACCATCTCCCTCCCCTCCCCCCTCCTGGCACCCCTCTGTTTCCGCACAAGCAGTCCCTCCTCCCTCCCTCCCTCCCCGCACCCTCGCTGCATGCCCCAGGTGATCAACGACATAGTGGCGTCGGCTCGCAGCAGTTCCTTCACGGACATCGTAGTGGTGCACGAGCACCGAGGCCAGCCCGACGGACTCGTCGTCTGCCACCTGCCCTACGGCCCCACTGCCTACTTCGGCCTGCTCAATGTGGTGCGTGTGCTCTTCCACAACAATCCCCCCCTCACTCTCTCCCCCCCCCTCTCTTCCCCCCCCCCCCCACGAGCCCTCCTGGATCTTAGCACCCCAAACTCGCCACCTTCCTCACTCTCCACTTCACTCTCCTCTTCCCCCATTGCCTCTTTGCTATGACTCTTCCTTCTGTGCCTGCTTCTTCCTGCCTGTGCATGTGGCACTTGCTTGTGTGCGAGCAGGTTACGCGGCATGACATCCAGGACAGAGCGGCCATCGGCACCATGTCAGAGGCGTACCCACACCTCATTCTAGATAACTTTTCAACCAAGGTACCTCACACGCTCACACGCACCACATCCCCCCCTTCCCATCTCCTCCTCCCCCCCTCCTCCCCTCCCCCCCCCCCCTCCCCCCACACACACTTCCCCCACCTCTCCTCCCCACGCGCAAACTTCCCCCTCCCCCTTTCTCTATATCTCGCTGAATTTCTTCCTTCCTTCGATCCCATTCCATTCGTCCCTTTCCTTTTTTCTCCCAGCACCTGTCCTCCCAATATCCCTCTTTCTCCCTACGACCATAGGTGTGTGTGTGTGCCTCATCCTGACTTCACTGTCTGTCTTGACCTACCATCATGTTCTTTCCTAACCCCAACCTCTTACCCTCCCTTTCTCTTTCCTCTCCCCCTTCCCTCCCTTCCCCTCCCTCCCCCCTCTCCCCGCTCCTCTCCCCGCCCCACCCCGTGCCCCACCCCGTGCCCCTGTCCTGCCCAACTCCCTGCCCCTGCCCCTGCCCCACCCCCTGCTCCTTCCCCTGCTCCTGCCCCTGCCCCAACCCCTGCCCCTGCCCCATGCATTGCCCTTTTGCCCGCGCTGGTGGCAGCTGGGGCAGCGCACGTGCAACATTCTCAAGTACCTGTTCCCGGTGCCCAAGCCCGACTCCAAGCGCGTCATCACATTCGCCAACCAAGCCGACTACATCTCCTTCCGGTCAGTGCATCCTGCGCCTGCTCTTGCTGCTGCCCTCGCTGCTGCTGCTGTGCTTGTGCTGGTGCCTCTGCTGCTTACGCTGCTGCTGCTGCTGCTGCTGCTGCTGCTGCTGTGAATCTGCGGCTCATGGTATTCTTTGGGAAGCCTGGTTGTTACGACATTTCAAACATCCCTTTAACACCCCCCCCCCCCCCCCCCACCCCCGGCCCCCCCTTCCACCCCCTCCATACACATACCCACCCTCCCCTATGACCATCCATTCTGCGGCTACAGGCATCATGTATATGAGAAGCCTCAAGGACCCAAGTCCCTGCAACTGAAGGAAGTTGGACCTAGGTTCGAGCTGCGGTTGTATCAGGTACTTGTTCTGTCACGTCGTTTTTCAACGAATCTTCTTCCATTACCATAGCCTTGAATGCAGTATTTTATGAACTTGGAAAGCTCTCATGGTGTGCGCATCATGCTTTGTGGTTTTGTTGTTATCTGGGTTGGTCTGTGCTTTGTGAGCAGATCAAGCTAGGAACAATGGATCAACCAGAGGCTGAGAATGAGTGGGTGATTCGGCCGTATATGAATACGGCCAAGAAACGTACTCTGTTGTGATAGATTGCAGGCGAATTCTTGATGGCGTTTTTTTTTTTTTTTTTTTTGCAATAATTGAGTTCCAGTGTGTTATGAATTAATCCGAGTAATAACAGGTAGTGTAATAAAGGAGTCGTGATTCAAGAGTGTCAATACAAATGAGGGCCTTGGTATTTATAGGCACGAACAGAGCTAGCCGAGAACCACGCGAACAGGTCGGGGCGATTTGGCTGGCGAAAGCCACGGAAGCGCTGCACGTCGAGGTTTGGGTTTGCGAAGTGGTTCGGGACCGAAGAACTTGGCCAGGCCTGGACTTCCGAGAGTCGAGGGCGTACGCGTTGTAGTCTATCCCATTAAGGAAAAGGGAGTTTCCTTACACAGTAGCTGTATTGTTATACACAGTAGTTGTAACTGCTGTTCTCGGCCGACTTCCAAGGGGGTATTTATGCACCCCGCCATTGTGCACCTCACCACGCCTCAAATTCATCAGGCAATCACTGCAGGACACTTGGCCATCCAGAAATCCTCACTGCCAGGTCGGCGCGACGCGCTGGCTGTGTGTCCCGCACCACTCGCCCCTTTGCCCCCTTGTTGCACTCCCTCCCCCTCCCTCTGGGATTCTCAAGGTGGCTCCAAGAACTAATTTTTCAAACCTGACCTCTGGCACCTTCCACAAAATCCTCTCACCGAAGCTAGACCTTTTAAAAACCCTGATATAATGTATCTTACCGCACAGAATCGCATCGTATTTCCCAAACCCACAAGAGGTGATTACCCAAGTTCTTGTACTTCACCTCCCTTCAACAACACTTCTCGCAAGTGACATAGATTCAAACTTAGGTTGGGCTAGGTTCAGAGCGACTCAGCACGGCGCCATAGATTGGCCCGCCTCTCACATCGCCTTGAAACTGGTGTAGCGTGCAGCTGTAAGTCATCGGCTCGTCGCCTAGCCAGCCAGCCTCTTCGTGGGCCGTAGTTGAACTCACGCCGCCGTCAGGTTCGTTCCTACCAGGCTCTCGGTATTCTCTAGGTTCAGGATCGTTCCTACCTGTATCACTCGCGATGGAGGTCTCGTTACAGAGCTCCGCGCGCGCTGCCGTTCACGCTGCGCCGCAGCGGGCTACGAGGAAATCGGCGCGTGATTCTACTACCGCGCAAGCCTCCCTCTCGTCGCTCTCATGCACAGCTCTCGCTGGTGCGGGGAGCCGCAGCCTTTTCCCCGCCCTTTCGCCTCCGCGCGTGCGCGCATCTTCCCGCCGCACCCGCCGTGGAGTGATTTCCGCAGTCGCCGCAGGAGTGGCTGGAGCCGCCAGCTCAAACAAGACCCGGTTGGCGCGAGCGGTGGAACTTGCTCAATGGCTCGCCTCCGCGGGATTCCCCGCGCAGCCTGTGGCCCCCGCGGACGCGGGAGCCGCGGGGATCGGGCTCTCCGCCAAGGAGCCAATAAAAAAGGGCCAGGTGGCGCTCCGCGTGCCAGAGAATTTCGTGGTGACGTCAGTCGACGTGGCGGATCACCCTGTCGTGGCGAAAGCGGCGGAAGGGCGCGGCGATTTGGTCGGGCTGACTCTGTGGCTGATGTGGGAGCGCGCGCAGGGCGACGCGTCCCTCTGGGCGCCGTACATCCGGACGTTTCCGGAAGCCACGTCCTCGCCGCTGCTTTGGCCGGCAGACGACCGGCAGCGGCTGCTGGCCGGCACGACGATCGCCGGCGAGATTGACGGCCGCGTGGCGGAAATGGAAGCCGTGTATAACGTTCTTAAAGCCGCGCATTTTGACGCCGACCCCGGTACCTTTGCGACCTCCCCCGCCTCCGCGCCTTTCTCTCTCGAGTCTTTCAAAAAAGCCTTCGCTGTCGTGCTATCTCGCGCCGTGTACCTTCCCTCGGTGGACCTATTCGCCTTGATTCCTCTGGTGGATCTAGTCAACCACTCGCCGGCGCCCTCTAATCCAGCCATTCCCCCGCCGTCCTCGTTCGATTTCGACCCGGCTTCGCAATGCGTGACTCTTCGCACCCCCGTCGATCTCGCCTCGGGCGATCCGCTCCTCGCATCGTACGGCCAGGATCGCACCCCGGCGGATCTCCTCCTCACGTACGGCTTCGTGCCGCGCGCGTCGCCGTCCGATTTCATCCTCCTGCCGGTCTCGCTCGTTCCGGGAGACCCCTTGCTGGAATTCAAGCGGCAGATTCTAAACGACCAGGGGCTGTCTGTATCGGAGATGTTTCCGCTTTTCACGGACCGCTTTCCGCGGCAGCTGATCGCTTTCATGCGGCTCGCGCGGCTCCAGGACGCGGCGCAGCTGGCGGGGATCAGCTTCGAGCGCGATGTGATGCTATCGGAGGCGAACGAGTACGAGGCGCTACAGATCCTGCTGCGTGACTGTAACGACCGGATCGCGGAATTCCCGCAGACGCTGGAGGACGATCTCCGGCTGCTGAATCTCGGTCCTTCCGTCGCCACCAGCGCCGCCGCCGCCGCCGCCGCCGCAAACACCGGCAGCAGCAGCAGCAGCGGGGGCGGGGGTTTTGGAGGGTTTTTCGGGGGCTTTGGAGGGGGGCAGCAGCAGCAGCAGGAGGAGGCGAGAGAAGCGGAGCGGGCATCGGCTGCTGCAGCGGCAGAGGCAGTTGCAGCAGGGGAGAGGGAGCTGTTGGCAGCGGCCCTACGGGCCAGGGAGAAGCAGATCTTAGCTAATACCGTGACTGCGCTGCGCACTAAGCTGGCGCCGATTAGGGGGCTGCCGAGCAAGCAGGGCATGGACGACCCGAACGAGGAGATTAAAGCCATGTTTGGGATGATGGAGGCGGGGCTGTCTGCTCCTACTAAGATCTTTTCGGATCTGCTGAAGCGCAAGAACTCGCCCTAGGCCGTGGACATGGGCTGTGGTGCCATGCTGTGGTGCCATGCTGTGGTGCCATGCCGTGGTGACATGCTGTGGTGACATGACATGCCGAGGCGACATGCCGTGGTGACATGTTTTGGTGCCATGTGGCTGGGAAGGGCACTTCTTGCTGGGCGGATGGTCGACTGCTTTGAATTGGTGATGATGGGTTTAACTAGGGCGCTTTCTGTGTTACGTGTAGCTCCCCCCTCCTGTCCTCCCCCTCCCCCCCCCCCCCCCCCCCTCTCCTCCCCCCCCCCCCTCTCCTCCCCCCCCCCCTCTCCTCCCCCCCCCCCCCTCTCCTCCCCCCCCCCCCCCCCCCCCCTCGCCCCGCGCTCTCTTTTCTTTTTAGGTTGACTTCGTTGGTGCGAATCTATATGTTCCATACAGCACATTCAAGGACTAGCTCGGAATTTCGGTCCACCACTATGCCATAGATCAGCTCCACCTCTATATGTAGTCTGTATGTGCTCAGTTTTGAACATGGCTAATGTAGGCTAATGTAGTAGATACCTGGGAAAAGCAAGCAACTAGCTTTGTTAGCATCAGTCCTATTTACATTAATCTGCTTTGGGTACTACAAGATGCCTAGAGATCTGTTGGAGAGAACTAGCAAGCAACCTCCTAGGAACCTACAGCAATAGGCTCACCCACTCGCCCATGTGCCCCCAGAAAACAAAAACCCCCTTTCAAACCACCGAGACACACTCCCTGGGGGTAAATTCCTGAATCAAATACCGGTATCGGTAACCGCTCCTTCGGCTCACATCCACAGCCGAGGGACTAAGGCATCACGTAACCAGCCATTCACCGGTGGAGAACCTTGTCTGCTCCTCCTCCGGGTCTTCTCTCCTGTACATCCCTACCGAATGATCTCATCATCCTCATGCCCCACGGCATACAGAATCCCCTTGCGCTTGCGCCGGATAGCCCCCCTCAACCATCCCACCGCCTTGGGAGCTGCAACCACCGCATCCCCTCCCCCTCCCCCCAACTCCCCACCAGAAGCAGCAGCCGCAGCCGCAGCTGCAGCAGCAGCAGCAGCGGAAGGGCCTAGGCTAGCCGCGCCTCCAGCTCCTTCCTCCAGCAGCAGCCAGGGGTCGATCTCCATCTCTGCTCCGTCTGCAGCTGCTGCTGCCGACACAGCCACTGCTGCTGCGGCAGCTGCTGCAGCGGCGGTGGTTGTTCCTCCTAATCCAGGCCCTGCTCCCAGTGCTGCTCCTCCTCCTGCTGCTGCTCCTGCTGCTCCTACTGCTGCTGCTCCTGCACCTGCTGCTGCTGGCATGGGTCCTACAAGGGCTGCTGGGAGGCGGAGGCAGGGGCTCGGGCTGTGAGAGGAGGAGAGCGAGCGGGTGACTATAAGGGGCGGCAGCGGGAGGTTCGGGTTAGAGCCACGGTTTCGGCTGGGTGAAAACACTGCATGGAGGGAGGCCGGCGAGGAGAGCGAGGAGGGGAGGGGCGTGGCAATGGCAGTGGTGGTGGTAGTGGCAATGGTAGTGGTGGTGGTGGGTTCTAGGGGCCGACCGTCTGCCACTGCTGATGCGGCAGCAGCTGCGGCGGCAAGAGGAGGGGGGACTTCTGGGGGAGCAGCGGAGATGGTGAGGGGTGGGGGCGAGGGGAGGATGGGTAGGGCGGCTTGCAGGCGCCCCCAGAGAGCAGTGTCCGGGAAGAGCGAGTCTATCTCCGCCTGCGAGGGGCAATGAGGATGGTGGGGGAGGGAGAACGGTGGGAAGGGAGGGAGAACGGTGGGAAGGGATGGGTGGGGAGTGTGGAATAGTTGGTGAGAGCAGGTAGGGTTGCAAGGGATAGCAGGGGTGGAGGTTGAGGTTCCGAGAGGAGCGGGGAGAGGAGGACCGGGGAGGAGGACTGGAGGGGGAGGAGGACTGGAGGGGGGAGAGAGAGTTTGAGGCCGAATCAGAACAATGAGGAAGCATTTCAGCAGGGCTTTTGAGTCGACTGAAATAAAGCATCGAGCAATGAATGATGTATGGTGTGTGGTGCATGGTGTACGGTGTATGGTGTATGGTGTATGGTGTATGGTGTATGGTGTATGGTGTATGGTGTATGGAGCATGGTGCATGGTGTATGGTGCATGGCACATGGTGCATGGTTCACTCACTTGTAGTGCGTCCAGCATGTCAGGGTCGAGAGGAGCCACGTCCTTGAGAGGCTTGTGCAGAGGGGAGGCCGCAGAGGAGGAAGCAGTGGGGGAGAGTGGGGAAGAGGAGGTGGAGTGTGAGGGGGGCCGCAGCCAGACTGGCCAGGTGGGTGTGAGCAGGGCGTAGAAGATGGACAGAAGCCAGTCGAATAAACTGTCCCCTGACGGCGGCTGCTGCTGCTGCTGCCAATGCTGCTGCAGAAGATGCCAGTGCAATTGTCCTGTCGATTTCAGGCTGTTCGAAGCAGCAGCTTTGTTAGTAGCGGAGGCGGTTATTCTGGAGAGCCGATACGCGCCAGAGTCAGACGGGTTAGCAGAATGGTGGAGCAAGGGGATAGTGGCGGATTGGCTTAGGGAGAGCAGAGGGGAGATGAGCGGGAGGGAGGGGGAAGGGGGCCCTGGGAGAGGGCACTGGATAGCTGGTGAGGAGAGGAGGTGCAGCAGGGTGAGAGTGAGGGAGCGCCGCATGCTTCGGGAGAAGGGCGTGCGTGAGTGGTCGGAACGAGCGTCCCTGTTGGTGGGGAGAAGTGGAGGAGAAGAGAGAGGTGGAAGACGAGTGGTGAGGGTGTGTTGAGAATCTGGCATACTCTGGTATACTAGTGGCCGTCACTTGCACAGGCCAAGTCAACTTTGAGCACACGCGTGCACTTGCACGTACTCGCAAACACACACTCCACTCCCCCACACACACGCACACCCACCCGCCCCCCCCTCCCGCGACGTCTTCCCCCACACACATACCTGTCAGCATGCACACTGGAGTCTATTTTTGAGGCGCCTCAAAAATAGACTCCCCACACACATACCTGTCAGCATGCACAATAGACTCCCCACACACATACCTGTCAGCATGCACAATGGGCTCCCCACACACATACCTGTCAGCATGCACAATGGGCTCCCCACACACATACCTGTCAGCATGCACAATGGGCTCACCACACACATACCTGTCAGCATGCACAATGGGCAGCAGCGGGAAGAGGAACTGGAGGCGAAGCCAGAAGGCTGAATGGAGCCTCTCGAGAGTGATGCAGGGAGATGCACCACCACCACCTGCAGGCACCGCGACAACACTGCCACCACCAGCAGCATCAGCACCAGGACCAGCGCCAGCACCAGCACCAGCAGCAGTCACACCAGCAAGAGCAGCAGCACCGGTAACACCAGCAGCGGTACGCTTGCTGCTAACTGCATTACGCTTGGCAGCAGCACCAGCAGCAGCAGCACCACCACCACCGCCACCACCAGCAGCACACGCACCACCCTCCCTGTCATCACCCCCCCCAGCACCAGCAGCAGCAACAGCAGCCCCCAAATCCCTGCCAAGCCCACTGCTCCTTTCAACCACCCTCTCCCCAAAAGAGCCTCCAGAACAAGTTGAATCAGAGAGTAAGATAGGCGCGAAGGGTTGAGAGGAGGTAAAGGTGTGGAGCGAGGCCAGCTGGTGTATCATGTCACGGGCAAAAGTGGACCGGGTTTCGTCAGAAGCTCGGGCGAGGCACGGCAGGACGAGGCGGGCTAGGGCACGCTCGGTGCCGAAAACGACGGGAGGAGACGACGGTGATGATAGATGTGCCAGCTGCTGCTGCTCCTGCTGCTGCCGCCGTTTGTGCCGATGTCGGTGCTGGTGTTGGCGTTGATGCTGACGTTGCCAGTGGAGTGTGTCGCCACAGGGGTTGTGCTCAGCCCTGGCTCTTGCTCTGGCTCTGGCTCTGGCTCTGGCTCTTGCTCTTGCTCTTGCTCTTGCCCTGGCCCTTGCTGGTGACGTGCTCGCAGGTGTCTGCGACACTCCAACCCCCCCATCAGCCAGAGCCTCCCCTCTCCTTTGCTTCGCCTTTCTCCCCCCCCCGCACGAACAGCAACCGCACCCCCGAGCATCCGCCCGAGCATCAGCCCGAGCATCCACCATCCACCCCACCGATTCTCCCCCTTCCAGGGTGTCCGGCTCACACCCCCACGACGTGAACGGTCTCCATAAGCTCTCTGGGAACAGCCAAGCATGTTGCCCACTCTGCGCACTTCGCTCCTCACCCTGCCGCTTGATACGCCGCTTTCGCCGCTGCTTCCTCCTCCTGCTGCTGCTGTCGCTTCTGTTTGAAAGGGGAGCTTCTGCCAACGGATCGACATAACCAGAGGAGGGCTGAGAAGACGACAGAGAAGTGTCTGCTGCGTCTGCTGAAAGATTTCTGGGTGAAGTGTCTGGGAAAGAAGAATCAGGTGGGAAGTGTGATTGAGAGAGAGGAGAGGGCGAGGCAGGGGGTGAGAGGGATAGACGAGGGACGAGAGGGCGAGAGGGAGTAACGAGGACTGCAACCGTAGGCGTTGGTGAGAGAGGGGGTGAGGCACCTTCTCTTGGTTCCCTTCCTGAGCTTCCTGATCTCCCGGGTCTTCCTGAGCTTCCTGATCTCCCGGGTCTTCCTGAGCTTCCTGATCTCCCGGGTCTTCCTGAGCTTCCTGATCTCCCGGGTCTTCCTGAGCTTCCTGATCTCCCGGGTCTTCCTGAGCTTCCTGATCTCCCGGGTCTTCCTGAGCTTCCTGATCTCCCGGGTCTTCCTGAGCTTCCTGATCTCCCGGGTCTTCCTGAGCTTCCTGATCTCCCGGGTCTTCCTGAGCTTCCTGATCTCCCGGGTCTTCCTGAGCTTCCTGATCTCCCGGGTCTTCCTGAGCTTCCTGATCTCGCGGGTCTTCCTGAGCTTCCTGATCTCCCGGGTCTTCCTGAGCTTCGGGAGGTGTCTTTGCTACATGCGTCAGAGTCAGAGGTCACAGGCTTTGAGCGAGACCTGTGAGACGCAGAGGAGTGAGTGTCTTGGCTGCATGAGCGAGACCTGCACGACCATTCCTGAGCTGACAAGGAGTGATGGTCCGAGGAGTATTGCTCGGAGGAACACTGGTCCGAGGAGTACCACCCAGCCTCGCCTGGCAGATAAAGCTCCTGGCTGAAGTCACTCCTATCCGCGCCACTTGCACCACTCGCATCACTCGCAGCCACTCCATCTGAATCTCCCTCCTCTGAGTCTTCTGAATCGGACTGTGAATGATTCGAATCAGACTCGTTTGGTATCTTGGCGCTGAGTTCTCCCTCACTTCCCTCCGACGCACTGCCGCTCAAGTCACTCCCCTCACTCTCCTCACTCCCCTCGCTTTCCTTGCTGTCCTCGCTTCCACTCTCTCTCTCCTCACTGCCCTCTGCACTCTCTTCACTGCTTCCCTCCAAGCTCCACTCCCCCATCTCACCTTGCTCCTCCTCATCCTCCTCACTCTCGTCCTCAACCATCACAGCCCCCTCATCCTCCTCCTCGTTCTCTTCCACTTCCACTTCCCCATCCTGCTCTCTCCCGCTTGCTGACAACGACATACTTTCCTGACTCTCCTCCACCTCCACCCCTTCATCCTCCTCTTCCTCTTCATAATCTTCTTCCTCCACCTCCTCACCCTCTACCCCCTCCGCTTCCCACTCCTCCTCTCCTTCCTCCTCCAAATCCTCTTCCTCTTCACTTCCCCACTCCCCAGATTCCTCCTCCTCCTCCTCATCCAATTCATCATCGAGCACGTCCCACTCTTGTCCTCCCACCTCCTCCTCTTCCTCTTCTCCTTCCCCAGAGTCCTCGTCTTGCTCCTCACTCCCATCCACTTTCTCCTTCCCTTCGTCCTCACTCATCTCCTCCTCTTCCTCCTCGTCATCCCCCCCCTCCCCTTCTCCCTCATCCTCCCCACTACTCTCTACCAGGTCGTCTTCACCCTTCACCTTTCTCTCCTCCTTCCCACAACGCTCACTATCAACCCCTGTACCCCTCTTCCCTTCACCCTCACCCCCCTCACCTTCCCCACCCCTCTTCCCTTCCTCCACACCCTCACCTTCCACCTCCCAGACCCCCTCCCTCTTCCCCTTCCCGTTGGCCTCACCCGTATCTGGACCCCCCATCGCCCCACACATCCACTCCTCCCCAATCACCCACTCCTCCCCTTTGTCCCCAGCCCTTGCGCTCTTGCCCCCATCACCCGCCAGTTCCGTCTTCTCCCCTCTGCCCTCACCCACCCCTTCCCGCACCCCTTCTCCCATTCCCTCACCCATGCCCTCGCCGTGCTGCGTTTCCTCCTCTTCCATTCCCTCCGCCTCCATCGCCACCGCAAGCTCCGCATCCAATAACCCATCATCGTCATCATCATCATTGTCATTGTCTCCTTCCTCCTCCTCTTCCTCCTCTTCCTTCTCCGCCTCCTCCTGCTCCTCCTCCTCATCCTCCCCCTCCCCTCCTTCACCTTCACCTTCCCCACTGGTCTCTCCCCCTGCATCCACCTGCATCTCTCCCTCCCTCCCATCCTCACTCCTACCCTCCCCCTTCGCCAAGGGACCATTCTGGCTCTGCCAGAATCCATTCACTCCAGTCACCTCTCCACTCGCCCCTCCACTCGCGTTTCCACTCACCTGCTCCTGCTTCGAGCCATATTCTTCTCCCCATCCATTCTCCCCGGCCTCCCCTGGTTTCCTCCCTATACAAGGAGCCTCTTGCCCCACATTTTCACGAGCAGCGGTCTTCCCCTCTTGCTTGTCCTCCCCTTTGCTACCATTCTCCTCTTCTCCTTCCTCCTCCTCCTCCTCCTCCTCCTCCTCCTCCTCCTCCTCCTCTTCCTTTTCCTCGTCCTCATTCTCCTCCCCTTCCCCTTCCCCTTCCTGCTCCCCCACCTCATCCGCTTCACTATCACCCTCCTCCTCACTCTCCATCTCCACTCCCTCACTCTCATCCCCCTTTTCCTCCTCCACACTCTCCCCTTTCTCACCCCCCTCTCCCTCTCTCATCTCCACATCCCCCCCTTCACTCCCACCTTCCTCCTCTCCCACATTCATCCCTCCACGCTCTCCCCCATCCCCACCCTCTCCTCCTCCCTCGCCTCCACCTATGTGCTCCCAATCGTACACCATACGCCCTATCCCTTGCCCTGCACCCCCCCAAATGCCCCCACGCCCCCCTTTCCCTCTTCCCCTTTCCCCATCCCCAACCCCCTTCCCCCCTTGGAACAGCAAGCTCCCAAGTGTATCCACCAGCTCTTCTCCCTCACCCACCAAGCCATCAACGCTATCACTATCAGCATGAGCATCAGCATGAGCATCAGGATCAGGATCACTATCCCCATCAGCATCCTCAGAGTCCGTCTCACCTTCCTCCCCCTCTGCTCCTCCTTCCTCCCTGGCACCCCACTCTCCATCTGCCTCCTCCTCCTCCTCCTCTTCCTCCTCCTCCTCTTCCTCCTCCTCCTCCTCCTCTTCCTCCTCTTCCTCGCCTTCCTCTGTTTGCACCTCCCCTTCTTCCTCCTCTTCCTCCCCTTCTTCCAACTCACTATCATCGTCATCATCATAGTAAGCATCCCATTCCTCACTCACCTCACCCTCCTCTCGTCCATCCTCCATCCCGTCTCCATCCCATAAAAAACCCCAAAAGTCCAGACCTGTTCGAACCTCGTCCTCCCACTCACCCTCCGCCTCAGAATCCCCAGAGTCACTCGAATAACCCCCCTTCTCTCCCTCTTCTCCCTCTTCTCCCCCCTCTCCCTCTTCTCCCTCCTCTCCCTCCTCTCCCTCCTCTCCCTCCTCTCCCTCCTCGTCCTCCTCGTTCTCCTCCTCATCTCCCTCACTTGACTCCGATTCGTCCTCTTCTAAACCAACGCATCCTCCCCCGTCTCCTCCTCTCTCTACTCCTCCTCTTCCACCACCTTCTCTTCCTCCTTCTTTCTTTCTCCTTCCACCTATGCAGTCTGCCCTTGCTTCCGTTCCCTCTTCCCTGGCCTCTATCCTCCCTGCTCCCCTGCTCTCTTCCCCAACGCCATCCCCCGCACCAGCCTCACTCGTGCCATGGGTATCCATTCCCTTCCCCTCCATCCACATCCCTCCTCTCTCACCTTCCGCAACTTTCATCTCACCATCCCCTCGCCCTTCTCTCCTATTTTCCCCATCATCCCTTATCGCTCCCACACGAGCTCCTGCCATATGTCCAAGCATGCCTGCTTTCGCTCCTCCTCCTCCTCCTCCCTCCTCCACGCTTTCTTTCCTTCTCTTTCGGTGCCGTGCTTTCGCGCCTTTTACTCGTTCCCCTGACCATCCGGTTCCCCCCCTGCTCACTAGTCCCCTGCCTCCGCCAATATCCCCCTCTCCTGTGCTCTCCTCTCCCCCCTCACTCCAATCAACCTCACCCTCCTCTTCACTCTCCCCACACCACGCCCTATCTCCCCATGCGTCCCACACCTCCTCTTTATCCCCCACTTCCCCCTCCTCCTCCTCTTCCTCCTCCTCCTCCGCTTCCTCCTCTACCTCTACATGAGCTCCCTCCACTCGCACAGTCTCCCCTTTCATCTCACCCACCCTACTCCCTGGCATCGCCTCCACTCCAGTACAACCACCCACCTCCCTCCCCCTTTCCCTTCCCACGACAGTTTCCCCACTCGTTCCTGCCTCTCCCCTTGCTCCTTCAAGCCCTGGCCCTCCTCCCCCCATCTCTCCTCCTTGTCCCTATCACCAAACCCTGTCCTCCAACCCCCACCCTGCTCCATCTCCATCCCTCCTTCCTCACACATCTCCTCCTCCCTCCCCGCACCAAGCCCCATCACCCCAGCTTCAAGTCTAAGCCCATGCCCCTGATGCACCCCCCTCTCCTCTTGCCCTTCCATCGGCACATCTTCCTCCTCTTTCCACCCGCCAAATCTGCCTGTACTTCCCCCTCCGCCCGGCTCCCCACTATCACCGTCCAGCATAAAATCACCTAGGCCCTCCCCGTTGCCCAAGCCACCTCCACTGCCCTCCTGCACCCCGTACTCTTCTGCACTGGCCTTCCCTCCGTCCTCATCACCATCCCCATCACCATCCCCATCACCATCACCATCACCACCACCCATTCTCCCCACCTCATCCTTCTCATCCTGGTGCCATTCCACCGCTCCCTCCTCTCCCATGCCCCTCTCAACCCCCCCACCAAACAACCCCACCGCCTCCATGCACCCAGAGTTCGTCCGCCCATCTTCACTTCTACTCTCCTCCTGCTTCTTCACATCCCTTCCCTCCTCTCTATCCTCCATATGCACCTCATCTCCCCTTACAGCGTCACCCACATGGACCTGCACTCCCCCCTCCCTCTCTCCACGCTCCTGCTCCTGCTGTTCCTCCTCCTCCTCCTCCTCCTCCTCCTCCTCGTCCTCCTCGTCCTCCTCTTCCTCCTCTTCCTCCCCCGCCTGCTTCTTCTCCTGCTCACCTGCCGTCTCCCAGCATTCCCCCTCGCCTGCACTCAACCGACGATCTAAGCCCTCCTCCTGCGCCCTTCCCTTCAGCCCCCGGTCCCTGCTCTCACTCTCCATATTCTGCAACGCCCTGCCTTCCCTCCCCACTGAAGCCTCATCCTCCTCCACCTTGTCCGTATCCCTTCCCTTCCCTCCCTTTCCCCCTTCCCCCTCACCTCCCTCTCCCTTCTCCAGCGCAGCACCATCCGCAGCCGCACCCCCTTCCATAAGGTCGTCCCCATCCCCCTCACCAGAAGCATCCCCCACATCCCCTCCTCCTGCCACCATCCCGAAACTACCCACACTGCCGGGTTCCTCCGTTCGAGGGGTTCGCACTGCCTCACGCTCACTATCGCCCTCCTCTCCCACTCCTTTCCCCTCTCCGTCCGCCTCACCTTGCCCCCAATCCCCTTCCATCAAGTCACCCTGCTCCTTGGGGGATTCTTCAGGCTCCTCAACCATTGGCTCCAGGTTACTATCTCCACCCCGGTCCCCTTCTCGCTCCTTGCCTCCCGTTCCCTCCTCTCCAACGCCCTCCTGCACTTCCTCAATGCCCACCCTCCCCCCCTCCACCTCCACCTCCTCCTCTTCGTCCCCCTCCCCCTCCCCTTCCTCTCTCTCCCATGCCTCGCCCTCTACCTCCTCTCCCAACAGTGCGCTTCCTTCCCGCATCTCCCCAGCTTCCCCATGCTGGTACGACTGCTCAGTACTCTGTCCGTCACTAGGACTCTCTCCCGCCTCGCCCTCACCCTCGCCCTCACCCTCACCCTCACCCTCACCCTCACCCTCACCCTCACCCTCACCCTCGTTCCCATCAGCATCAGTGTCCTCTCCAAAGAGCTCCCCTAGCACGACCTCCTTGCTCTCCATTCCCTTGCTCGAGCCTTGCTCCGCCTCCCCTCCTTCCACCACCATGCCATCCTCCTCACTGCCTACCCTCTCTCCCGTGAACCCCACCAGGCCCCCCTCTCCCTGCCGTTGCTGATCCCAAACTTCCTCTTGCTTCGTCTCTTTCCCTTCCTGCTCTTGCTTCTCCTGCTTCTCCTGCTGCTGCTGTTGTTGCGGCTCCTGCTGCCGATCCCTCACATCTCCCACCTCCACCTCCTCCTCTTCCTCCACCACCCCCTGCCCTGACTGCTCTGAGGATAAGGAGCCAGAGGAGGACGAGGAATTGCCAGAAGAGGAAGAGGAGGAGGTTGATGAAACTGACTGAGACAATTTCCCAGGGGTCTGTACTTCCCCTCCCTTTTCCCCGCCCCCTTCCCCTCCCTTTTCTCCCGCTCCTCCCTCTCCTCCTTCCGCTTCCACCCCCCCTTCCGCTCCCCCTTCCGCCTCCCCTTCCCCTCCCCCTTTCCCTTCGCCATCTTTTCCCCCTAGCGATGGCTTACCCATGCTGCCCTGCCCTTCCTGTGCCCCTGACGCGGATGATGCTGCAGAGGCCGATGCGGACGCAGATGCTGATGGGGAGCAAGAGGATGCCTTGCCAGAAGGGGCAACTCCTGCCGCTTCTGCTGCTCCTGCTGCTGCTTCTGCTGCTTCTCCTCCTCCTCCTGCTGCTGCTGCTGCGGCTGCTGCTGCATCTGTGCCCGCTTCTACAGCAGCAGCACCAGAGGACGAGGAGGAGGAGGAGGGGGAGGAGGAGGATGGGGAATTAGCAGAGGAGGCAGCAGATGTGGGCGAGGAGGAGGAGGACGGACCGGAGGAGGAGGAGGAAGAGGGGGGGGATTGAGAGGAGGATGAGGCAGCGGAAGGGCCAACCACCTCGTCCCCGTCCCCTTTCCGCTCCCTCCTCCCTGTCTGGGTCCTTGCACTGGTGCGCAGTTCTTCATCTCCTTCCGCCAGCCTTCCTGCTTGCCCCTTGCTGTCTTCCTCCCCCCCTTTCTCTGCATCTCCTGCTTCTACTGCCCCTTCTGTGCCATCCCCAATATTATTCTCAGCCTCACTCTCTGTCGGCTCAGCATCATCGGTACTGTCAGCACCAGCATTACCATTACCATTGCCATCCTCTTTAGCAGGAAGGGCACTGCCATCGCCATCACCACCATCACCACCAGCACCCCCACCCCCACCGCCTTCCGCTCCCATCTTCTCCGCACCTCCTCCCTCCCCCCTACCCAGGCCCCCCCCACGCTCCTGCCCTACAACCCTTTCACCCGCCCTGTTCCTCTCTAGCCCATTCTTCCCCCCCTGCCCTTTCCCCAGCCGCCGCTCCCCATCGCCCTCTTCAGCCTCATCCACATCCACCTCCTCCTCCTCCTTTGCAGGAGGGGCTTCTCCTTCCGCCCTCTTCCCTTCCGCCCTCTTCCCTTCCGCCCATTTCTCTTCCGCCATTCTGTCTTCCGCCCCTTTCCCATCAGCCAACTCGCCTTCCACCCTCGGTTTTCCAGCTGTTTTCTCTGGCCCTGCCCTTTCTTTCACACCTTCCAGACCTCCACCTTCCAGACCTCCACCCTCCAGACCTCCTTCCAATCCCACCACCCCGTTCCCTCGGTGCTTCTTCGTTTCCACAACCACCTCCCCATCCTTCCCCCCTATCTTCACTCCTCCCACTTGCCCATCCACATCAGTATCTGACCCTAAAATTGGACCGTTCACCACCCCCCCTTCACCCCTCCCACCACTCTCTACCGCTCCTCCCTCTCTCCCTTTCCCTCCTGTCCTGTCTCCCACACTCCCCTCCCCTCCTCCGCCTCCTACCCTCTCTCCCCTCCCCTCTTCCAACCCCGCACCACCACTCACCCCCCCCACACCATTCCCAACCGCATACACACCTTTCTCTCCATCCTCACCCATCTGCACCTCCCCTAAACCACGACCACTCCCAGCCTCGTCCCTCCCTCCATCTGTCCCTATCTCCCCAGCCTTACCCCCTCCTCTGCCTCCTTTTTCCTCGATCTCCATGTCTGCACCGTCACTACTCCTGCCCACAGTCTGTTCCACGGGAGCACGTCTTCGCGTCCTGTCCGCTCCGTCCCTTTCAACCCCCACCGCCCTCGCTCCCCCCTCCCCATCCGCCTCTCCATCCGCCTGTTTTGGAACCCCCGGCCCTTCAAGCCCTTCCATTGCGGTGCCACTCACTCCAAGAATTTCCCCATTAATCTCCCCTTCCTCTCCCATGCCCTCGTCTCCTTTGCTCCCCTCCTCTGGTTGTGCACCTCCCAGCTTCACTCCCTTCTTTTCATCTGCCATCATCTCTTCATTTGCCTCTCCCACCCCACCATCCCCAGCAGAAACCCTTGCCGATGCGCCTTCAACAGCATCTGCTACTGCTGTTCCTGCTGCTGCGTCCTTCCCTCCATCCATAGCCACATTTGTGTCCAAACACGTGTCAACCTTCCCTGCCGAATCACCTGCACTGGCAGAAGCAACAACAGTATCACCACCAGTGGCAGCAGCAGCAGCAGCAGCAGCAGCAGCAGCAGCAAAACCAGCAGCAGCAGCAGCACCAGTGGCGGCAGTAGCTGCGGTGGCAGCAGCAGGTCTTTTCCGCCTGCCGTGTCTCCGGCGGTGTCGGGAGGAGCGACGCAGGATGAAGATGGGAGGGGGAGGAGCGAGAAGGCTGATGCGGTGGGAGATGGGACGGATGGAGGAGACTGACAGAGAGCCGCTTAGAACGCCGTGCACCTGATGAGCGGGGGGATGGGGGATAGAGACAAAGAGGGCGAGGGAGAGCGACAAAAATGAAGAGATGGTGAGAGATGGGGAATAGGAGAAGGGCAACCGAGTGCACAGAATTTACCGAGTGATAAGGGGTTCGATCGAGGGAACTCTGACATCAAGCGATGGAAGCGATGCAAAGGCAAGATACAGGAAGCATGCACCGCGCAAGCAGATGCAAGAATGATAGAAAGGAAAGACGCAAGGAGACACACACACTCCCACCCACCCACCCACCCACACACTCACCTGCTTGAGCACCCAGTCTTCCAAGTTATGCGTCAAGCCCCGCAGCAACTCCGAGAGCAGCGCAGCACACTCAGGTTGCACAAGCACCCGAGACAGCACCGCACCCGCAAACCCCTTCTCACTCTCCCACACACCGTCACTGACCACCCCCCCATCTCCTTTCTCCAACTCCAATCCAGCACCTACACCTCCTCCTGCCACCCCTGCTCCCCCCACCCCGCCTTGCCCCCTCCGGAAAACGCCACCGCCACCGCCACCGCCACTCCCACTGGTGCCATCACCCGTGAGATCTATCACCCCTGATCCCCTGACTGCTATGCCTGAGGCTGCTCCTGTGGCTGACGCTAGCTTGCTATGGTGGGATGCAGGGTGGGTTCGATCCGATGCTCCATACAGGGGGGTCAGACAGGCTGCGGACTGCAAGGCCGAGGGGAGACATGCACCCGCATGCACTCGCTCCAGGCACACCTGACGAACGGGGGTTGAAAAGGGCCGGAAGGGGGGGAGAGGGGAGAGAGGGTGGGGGGGAGAGGGTGGGAGGGGAGAGAGTGGGGAGAGAGTGGGGAGGCGAGGGAGGGAGATACCAAGGGAAAAAACGATCATGGCAAACAGTGCGTGTGAATGAAGACTAGGGCACGCCGCCGCGGAGAGAGAGAGAGGTAATGGGATGAGAAACATTGACGATGAGAACAGTAAGAGAGTAGTGGAAGCGTACTGTGGCAGGAGTGGGGGAGAAGCAAAAGAGGGCATTAGGAGATTGTCTACTGTACCTGTTCAGCAAGCAGAAGGCGAGTAAGCACTCGGTGCACGGGCAGCGAAGCCGGGTCCAGGCTATCCAGCAGCGCCATCAGAAGCACCTGCTGCTCTCCGTTCCTCCATGGCTCAACCACCCCTGTCCCCCACCCTCCCACTCCATGCACCTCCCTTCCACACCCCAGCCCGGAACTCTCCCTCGCAACCTGCTCCCTACTATCAGATCCCTGCTTGGTCTTGCTACACCTAAAGGCTACCCCTTCCCGCTCCTGCTCCCCTTCTCGTTCTTGTTCACCTCCTCTCCTCGCCCTGTGCTTCCTGTGCCCTTGCGCTCGGGCACGTGGTGACAGTAGCCGTTGGGATAGCACGGAGAGGAGGAATTGGCGGCAGCGGAAAGGCACCAGTGCCAGCAACGCCTTGTCTGAGCACGCCCTTGTTGGAATCCAAGTCCCCCAACTCCCAGCAGGTGCTGCTTGTGGGAACACTGCTGCTGTGGCTGCTTGTGGTGCAGCAGCTGATTGCATCACCTCCGCGCCAGCCAGACTAACTGATGCTCCCGCTGCTGCCACTCCTGCAGCCACTCCTGCTGCCGCTGCTTCTGCCTCTGCCCCTGCTGCAGCTGTTGCCTCTGGAGCTTCAGCAGCAGCAGCAGCAGCAGCAGCAGCAGCAGCAGCAACAGCAGCAGCGGCAGCAGCAGCAGCAGTGACAGTAGCGGCATGCAACGCAGCAGCCAATTTCCTCTCCCTCTCCACCTCCATCCACACGCAGTGGTCGAGCGACTGCACGTCTCGAAGCAGAGCCGAGCGCAGAGCAGGGTTCAGCACAACATCCATTGCTGCTGCCTCCACATTCGCCTCAAAGTCCACCTGAGCGCCAGATAACCCTTCTGAATACCCAGCTGCTGCTCCTGCTTCTGCGTCTGCCTGTGCTGCTGCTGCTTCTGCCAGTGCTGCTTCTGCTGCTGCTGCTGGTATGGGTATGGAAGGTCCGCGAAGAGAAGGACGGGGAAGCAGCAAGCATGAGGCAGCAGAGTGTCTTCTGCGACACTTGCAGCTGGAAAGGGCTCCAGAGACCCGTAAATTCCCCTCTTGCTGCTGCTGCTGTGAGAAAATGGGCTGTTTTTCCAGCAGCTCTTCCTCTCCTGAAGGGTCAACATCCATCAATGCGCCACCTCTAGCCCTCTCCCCCACACCCTGTCCCAAGTCGCCATGCAACCGACACCCTTCCTGCCGCGCTTCACCCTGCTCAACCGCTCTGGCTCTCCTTCCTTCCCTTGCCTCCGCCTTCTTTGCTTGCCTGAGCGCCGCGCGTGTGTGCAGCGCAGCAGCAAAGAGGGGATAAACGGAGAGGAACGCAAAGCGAGTGGAGAGGAGAGAGGCCTGCATGCGGTGGAGAGCCAGTGTATGCACTGGGCCCAACATACGAGGCCACCAGGACAGATACCCGCAGCAGCTGCACACGCTGTGGTATGCGCCCGGTGCATTTCCCTCTTTAGCCTCTTTCTGCTTCTCATCAATGGAAGCAGCGTCGCCAGCAGGCACAGCAGCAGCAGCAGCAAAAGAGATCCCTCTGCCCTTGCTATGTATGCTGCACTGCTGACACTGCCTACTCTGCCTACTCTGCCTCTCCTTCCCTTCCTGCTGCTCATGCTGGTGTGAGCCAAGCAGCACGCGCATCCACAGAAGCTGGGTCACATCTCCCCGCCACCCCTCCTCCTCTCCCTCCCCCTCCCCCTCCTCATCCTCCTTCCCCTCCCCCTCCACCACTTGCTGTGGCCCTGCAACGCCCACTCCCCCACTCCCATTCTCTCTCGCGCCCGTACGAGAGCTCCTACGCCCCTGCCTCGCCCTAGCACCGGCAACCTGCCTTGGAACGGGGCTAGACGAGCCGAGTCCTGCTGATTGGCCAAGGGTTCGACCTGACCCTTGCGCCCTGGTACTGTGAGCTTCTTCCTTGGCGTTTGCCGCACGCCTCAACCCTACTGCTGCACCCCTTGACCCCACTGGAAAATCTGCCTGCTCTTTAGCAACAGCGCCAGCAGCGTCTCCACCTCCTGCCCCTGCTGCTCCTGCTGCTGCTGCTGCCCCTGCTATCCCTGTTGCTGCTGTTGCTCCTGCTGTTGTAGCAGCAGCAGCAGTGGCGGGCTCAGCAGCCCCATCTTCAACCCCTCGAGGCTGCAGCAAATCACTGGGAGATAGGCACTGCAGTCTAGCCGCCACCGATGGGGCGAGTGTGTGAGGCACACACAGGGACGCCACAGCACGAGGCAGAGACACCAGCCCGTGAACAGCACCCAGCACCACAACAGATAACGCCACCCCCATATCCACCTCCCCACTCCAATCCAGCCCCCAAAGACCCTCCGCCTCCGTCTCTTCTCTTCTCCCCTGCCTCTGCCCACCCTGCCACCCATCCATTTCTGCACTTAACCCTAGCACCTGTTCCCCTTGGACTGAACGGCCCATGAGACCTTCTGTGCCATCTTCCCCTTTCACCCAGCCTCCACCCACTCCTCCTTCCGCTTCTCGCTTTCCCTCCCTTCCTTCTTGCTCCCCTTCCATGTTCACCCTGCTGTTTGCTTCCCCCCCCGCTCCACCTGCTGATCTCACTGGCCCTTCCGCTCCCACCCCGCTCTGGCCTCCTCCCCCCCCTCCTCCCCCTCCTCCGCATCCCTCACCTGCTAGAGAAGAAGCACCTTTCCTGCCCTGTGCTAGAGGCGGGAGGAGATCGGGTGTAACCGGTGATAAAGTCATATACGCACCGGACGAGTACATCCTCCCAGCAACAATAGCAGCAGCACCTGCAGCACCGCTGCTACCAGCGGCAGCAGCAGCGGCAGCAGAAGGGGCACTGGCAGGGCGTGGTTGAACCCCGCATGAGGCTCGAACAATCTCCCCTGCGGCATGCACCAGGGCGGTTTCTAGCATGCGGGCGGATTGCGATGGGAGCACTGACACCAGCAGCTGCAGGCACTGTAGGTGCTCTAGCACTCTCTGCCTTGCTTTAGCTGCTAAGGAGTCAGTCACTCTCTCTGCCTTCTCACACCGCCCACACAGATCTCCACTAACTTGAGCTCTCCCCCTATGCTGAATCTCTGCTCTTATTGCCTTTCCACCGTCTCCCCCTCTCCTCACATCCATCCCCTTCTTCCACCGCTTCTTCCCTCTCTCAAACACATCCCTGACAGCAGCACTTGCCCCAGCAACCACCGCACCCGCCAGCGCACCATACACCTCACTCTCCCTCACGCCCTTGCCTCCATACTCCACACACACGTCCCGCAGCTCCTTCGTTAACCCTTCCACCACACACCTCCTCCTCGCTTTCCTCACTACCCACTCCTCCGCACCCTTTCTTGCCCTCCCCCTCCTCCCGGACCCCTTGGCAGCAGCATTAGCTTCAGCAGCAGCAGCAGCAGCAGCATTGACGTCGGCCCCACCCCACCCTTCCTCCTGTTTAACCGGAACAGGCCTCCCTTGCTCCCAATCCATCCCATCCCCATCACCACGCCTCCCCCATCTATCCTCCCCAGTCAAACCACCATTCCTCCCAGCCCTGTTCTCCTCTCCCTCTCCCCCTTTCTCCTCCTCCTCCTCCTCTTCCTCCTCTTCCCCATCGTCCTCGTCCTCTTCCAACCGAAGCCTCTGCAATACGTCTCTAAAATGGCTCACTAGAGGCGCATCCACTGCACTTGCCTCCCCATCACCCACCCCTCCCTCCTGCCTCTTCTCTTTCCCATCAACATCCCTCTCTCCAAAGCCCCCTGCCCCACCCGCACTCCCACCCTTTCCTGGTACAGGCATCACCACCCCAAACTGCTCTGTTTCGCCTCCGCCCACTTCCCTCCCCGCAACCTCCCTCCCGTCCTCTTCAATCACAGCCTGCTTTCTCGAGGCTTCAATATAAGCCCACAACTGCGGCTGTGCCTGGGCTTTAGCTGTCGCCTCCCAGTCCTTCACCTCTGGAGAAGAAGAATAGCGCAATAATAACCGCCCGATAAAGTCTGCTAGATGGTTCAAGTCCCTGTCATCCCCCCCATCCACCACAAACAATCCAGACTCCTCCCCCTGCTCCAGAGCCCCCCCTTCTCCTCCTCGCCCTCCACCCCACCCAGCTGCTGCTGCTGCTCCCGTTTGGTGGCTTAAGAAGGAAGCACCTGGGGTAAGTACACCTTGGGACGGGTTTATGCTGCCTACCGTACCAGCAGCAGCGGCCGCCGCAGCAGCAGCTGAGGGGCTGACCTGTTGGACCGCACAGAAGGCCAGAGACTGCCTTGCTTTGAGCAGAAGGAGCGAGAGGAGAGACGGCAGCAGCCCGAGGGACACGAAGACCGGCTCGTACCGCCCCAGGCACGTCACTAGCACACAGCACTTCACAACCACGCGGCCCCGAACAGGAGCCGTTTCGGCAGCAGGAAACTCTGTACACACACCATCATCACCAACAGCACCAGCAGCACCAGCAGCAGCACCGGCTGCAGCAGCAGTTGTGGCCTCACGGCTCACACCTGCAGCCATGCTGAATCCACTACTACCAAAGCCGCCCATACTCCCTGCACCTCCTGCTACTGCTGCTGCACTCGCAGCCCCCTGGAAACGAGACACCCCCCACGGTCCCCCGCCCGAACCAGCATCAAACCCTGAGTGCACGCCAAATACGCTGCTCCCACCACTTGCACCATACCCAGGGGCATTCACAGCATGTATCTGCCCTTCTGCAGGGTGCTGCGCCTGCAGCAGCGGGTGGTGCTCCGCTGCCCCAGTGCCCCTATGCTCGCTGGTACGAGAGAGGGCCAACAAGATCAGCAGGAACCGTGAGAGGCTACGTAAATCGGAGCATTTATCAAGGACAAACAGCACCTGCTGTAGCTCCTCCTCTCCCACCACCCACTCCTCCGCACCTACCCCTGCTGACCCTGCTCCTACACCTGCTCCTGAGTGTTCGCCTATTGTCACACCTGTTACAGTTCCGTCGAGAGACTCCCTTGAAGCCGGAGCAGGGGAATCCGTGTTATAAAAAGGGGTGCTGTAGAGAGGGGAAGGGGAGAAAAGAGGTGAGGGCGCCATGAAAGGTGAAGGGGCAGTGAAGGGTGAAGGAGCAGTGAAAGGTGAAGGAGCAGTGAAGGGGGAAGGAGCAGGGGAAGCAGCTGCGGCTGCTGCAGCAGCCGCAGCCGCTGCGGCCGCCGCCGCTGCTGCAGCTGCTGCAGCGGCAGCTGCAGTTCCCCTAGTGGCATTCGCTCCCCTGCGGGAGCCCCTGCTGCTACGCCCGCTCTTTGTGTTCTTCCCTGTCTTCGCATCGGCTTTGGACGCAGCTGCCGCTGCTGCTGCCGCCGCTGCCACTGCAGCTTCTGCTGTGGAAACGGCCTTTGCTGCTGCTGCTTCTACCACCTCCGTCTCCTCCTCCACCCAGCACAGCACCGTCCCTACAGGCCCGAGCAAGATCTCTTCTGCAGAAAACTTAGTCGGGAGCGATCCCACAAGGGACGACGTGAGGCGAAGGGACAGACAGAGGCGGTCGCGAGGGGAGAGCTGGTTCAACGATTGGGAGATGGAGCTCCAGCAGGGCAGCTTGTGGAGCACGCCTGAACCACAGCCGACACCATCTGACGGGGACGCCTCAGGCCCATGCCCACGCCTTGGATCATGAGTCTGGTGTGGACGCGTTCCGTGTGCCTCAGCCTGGTGTGCCTGTGCCCTTGCTCCCATGCCCTCCCCAGCTCTCCTTCCCTTGCCCGGCCACTGCCATCCACTCTTGCTTCCCTTCCCTGCAGCCTTCTCTCCCTTCCCGGGTTGCTGGAACCCATGTCTGAAGCCTTCTCCTCCTCCCTCTCCTCCCTCTCCTCCCTCTCCTCCCTCTCCTCTCTCTCCTTCCTCTCCTCCCTCTCCTCCCTCTCCTCCCTCCTGCTTCACTGGTCTTGCGCACGGCTCGCTTCCCTTCATCGTGCCCCCCTCCCATTCGCTCCGAATGCGCGCATTCACCCACCAGCCCTCCTCGTCCTCCTCCCCTTGCTCCTCCCCGGCCGTGTCTGCCTGCCGTCCTTCCTCTGCTCTCACTCCTGCATTCATCCACACACCAGAAACATTCTTCCCGAGAAGTGCCTCGACACCCCAAAAGGGAAACACCGCCCCAGCAGCAGCAGGAGGAGGGGGAGGATGAGCAGCAGCTCGGCTACTTCTACCAAACACCTCAGGCCCATGTACCTGTCTCGCGCCATTTACTGCATTCTCTTCGCATGCCTGCCCTGCCCCCATGCCCCCTCCGCCCCTTCCAAACCCAATCAGGGTCAGCACATCTTCCACTGTGGCTATCTGCTGCTTCGGAACTGCCTTTCTCATCTGCTTCTCCTGCCAAGTCTCAACAGAATCTCTTCTCCCACTCCCACCCCCAAAACCAAAACCACAACCACAACCACAACCACTACCACTACCACTACCACTACCACTAACACTTCCACTTCCACTACCAACCCCACCACCTGTGCCAGATACTATTCTTACTCTCCTTCTGCCCTGGCGGTACCCTTTTGCTTTCTTCTCTCCAACTTCTTGCTGCAACCCCTTAGACTTTTCAGTCTTCCTTCTCTGCTTTACCACTGTCTCCTTCGGTTTTACCACCGTCTCCTTCTGTTTCCCTACCTCCTTCTTTCGCTCATCTACCTGCGCCTTCCGCCTTTCTACTCGCGGCTTCTGGCTTTCTACCTCCGGCTTCTGCCTTCCTACCTCCGGCTTCTGCCTTCCTACTCTCCCCTTCTGCTTCACAAACTTTCCTCTCTCTTTCCCAACCTTCTCGTTCCCCTTTCCTTCCCTCCCAACCACGGCATCAGTCTTCTGTCCATGAGAAAGTATCCTGTCATTCCTCGAATTTTCTTCCAACCGTCTTCTCTTTTTCTGCCTTTCCTCGGAGCCCAGTATCTTACCACCTCTTTTCCCCAGCCGCCCTTCCCCAGCCTTAGTCTCTCTCGTTCCCCTCCCTGCTGAATTCCCACCCTCCTCTTTCTTCCTCTTCACACCTGCTTTCCGCTCAACAATCACCCCCCGTCGTTGACCATGCGGCTGCTCATGCTGCTGCTGATGCTGCAGCTTTCCTGCCCTTTTCTTCTTCTGCCTCTCTCCCTCCACCTTCCTCGGTTGTTTGACCCTCTTTTTCTCATGTACATGCCTTTTCTCACGCACTTTTCGCTTGCCATCATTCCAGTGTTTAGGCCCCACTCGCACCCCCTTCACCCATCTCCCAGCCCGCATAGTGACAACTCTCTCCGTCTCAAACAGCCAAGCAGCCTCCGCAATCCCTCTCTCCCTCCCCTGCTCCTCCCACGCCCTGCCCTCTCGTTCTTCTTCCACCTCCACATCTGCACCTGCATTGCCCCCAACCACCCCACCTCCCCTGCCCCCGCCTTCAGTAACCCTGTGCTGCTCCTGCTGCTGCTGTCCGCGGGATGGTCCCTGCGATTTTTGCCCTCCAAGTGCCAGCCTAAGCCGGCAATCCTGTACCAGCTTCACTCCCACGTGCCGCTCTTGGGGGAATTCAGCAAGCAGTCTCATCAGCCGCGGGGGGTGCGGCAGCAAGTGCAGGCACTCGCGGTGACTCTGCGTAGCCCAAAACCTCTCCCACACCTGCCCTTGAAAATCCACAGCCCAACCAACAGCAGCTGCTACAGCAGGAGCCTCCATCCGGCCATCTGCTACCAGCTGCCTCATATACAGCACAGGGCCAAACAACCCCTGCTGTACCAGCTCGCCCAAGAGGCTTTCCAGCAGCTGCTGCCTGTGCTTTGCCGGCCCTGGAGCTCCTAGTATGAGTCCGTATCGCTTCTCCAGCCACTCCAGAATCAGGTCGTGCAGACCCGCATCCATCACCTCCTCCCCTGATTTCATCAACGCAGCTGCATCGCCACTCTTCTCCCTCACTTTCTCCCCATGTCCCACTCCCTCCTCTTCACCTCCCTCCTCCTCATCCTCTTTCTCCTCGCCCTCATCCTTCTCTGCCTCCTCCCTATCCTGCTCCATCTCTTCCCCCTCTCTGCCCCCTTCCTCTCCCTCAGCAGTGGCATTACCTCTCCCAGCCGCACAGAATCCATCCTCACCTGCACCTGCATCAGCAGCGTCCGCTGCTGCAGCCGAGTCAGAGAGGCACGTCGCGGGGACTGGCACAAAGCTTGAGGCATACTTGTGCAGAACCGAGGCAGCAAAGCACACGCGGGCATAGTCCGAGAGAGGCAGTGCAGGCCATTGGGTGGAAGAATAGGCCGACCCAGAGTTCCTTGACCGCCCTTGCTTCCTGCTGTGTCTGCTGCCGCCGTTGCCACTACTGCCGCTGTTGCCGTCGCCACTGCTGCCACCACCATTCCCACCAAACAGCTGCAAAAATTTCCATCTCTGGGGCCATCCCGCCACCCCACCAGTGACAACCCACTCCAGTAAAAAGCACACAGCAACCACGTCACCTCCCACCCACTCCCTCCTCCACCCACTCGCCCCTGTAACCTTGCCCCCTTCTCCTTCCGTCCCTGCACCTTCTTCGCCCCTTCCTGCTGCTCTTTCACCTTCACCTAGTCCCACCTCATCGCCCCCACCTCCTCCCCCTCTTCCTCCTCCTCCTCCTCCTCCTCCTCCTCCTGCTGCCACATTCCTCCCAGTCAGCCCAAGAGCAGCACACGATAGCTCACTGAACGCCCCATCGAGGAACAGAGACCTCACGGCTGTCTCCACGTCATGGCATCGCAACGCACGCTCCAAATCCTCAGCCACTTTCCCCTCATTCGTGCGCAGAATGCACGGGCTCACACTGCCGGCTAGAGCTGTTGCGCGGGCTGTTATCCCCTCCACTACGTCCCCCAGGGCTGAGTCACAAACCAATTCATCCGCCCATGCTGCTGCTGCTGCTGCTGCTGCTGTGTCAGATCCGCTTGGAATGCTGCTGCTGCTGAGATCGACAGCGACAGCAGCGTCACCAATCCCAGCACCAGCAGTGTCAGCCGCAGCAGCAGCAGCAGCAGCATCGGGTGCATCCCCAGCACTACCCATAGCCCCAACCCCGTCACCAAACCCAGAAGTTCCAGCCCCAATAAACCCAGTCCCAGCTGCTTCTGTTGCTTCTGCTGCCATTGCTGTTGCTTCCATAGCTGAAGATAAGTTGCCAGGATCTGAGACCCATGCTCCTGACTCATGCAGCCTAGAAGCACCCAGTGTGGCCTCACCACGCTCAGCTTGGGACGGTGGCTGAAACGCAGGAGTGTAAACAGGCGAAGAAGCAGGTCGTGTGCTTTCCAGTGGGGTTTCAGATAAGGTCTGGGCAGCACGTGGTTGGGATTGGCTAGGTGGCTGGATTGGGGGAGCAGGAGGCGGTGAGGGGAAGAGCTTATCGGTGGGTAGACCGACCATGGCAGGGAGGGCGTGGGAGACAACAGGCGGCAGAGGGAAGCAGTTGAGAGCCACAAACGAGTCTGGGGCGGTCACAAGGAGAATGCGCACTATGCCGGCAACGCAGAGAGCCAGCGCATGTGTCTCCTCTGACCCTGGAAAAGGGGCTTGTCCCTGCCCCTGCCCTTCTGCCTCCACCCTGCCGTAGCCGGGACCAGTTCCCCCTCCCCCTCCCCCGCCTCCTCCCGCGCCTCCCCCAGCAGCGGAGGCTGCTGTTGGGCCAGGGGGGGAAAGGGGAGAGAAGACGTCCATGGGAGTGGAAGGGCCCGAGAGGGGTTGGAGCGGAGTGAGTGGGGAGATAGGCGGCGATGCGGGGTTCTGGGAGGGGAAAGGCGCCTGTGACGCCGACTGCTGCTGCTGCTGCTGGGTTGGCTGCTTCTTTTGGGACTGTGTGAGGTTGCCTGAGGGAACATCAGGGACAAGAGATGCTGCTGCTGTTGCTGCTGCATTAGAGGATAACGACGGCGGCATGGTGTGCGGCAGAAGATCCAGCCACGACAAGCACGCGTCTAGCAGGACTCGTAGATGCGCCTGGGACAGCGCAATAACGGGTACAAGCTCCAGCAGCAGTGGCAAGAGGCAGGAAAGAACCGCGAAGGACTCCTTCTCCTGCACCTGCCTTAGCAGCCAATCCACCAGCATGGTTCGGCTTATCAGCCCCTCACATAACTGCCACATCAGCAGCCGAGATACATACTCCCACCGGCCTCCCGTGTCACACTCTGCACCCTCCACCCCTCCCGCTTCCCCTTCCCCATCCCCTTCCCCATCCCCTTCTGCACCCCACCCCCACATCCCACCCCATGCGCCATCCTGACCCAGAGAATCTGCACCGTCAGCAGCAGCCGCTCCAGCTACCTCAGCAGCAGCAGCAGCAGCAGCTGGGCCTGCTGCAGGGTTACTGAGTGCAGCAGCACTCGCAGAGCTCCCAGGAGCACCACTGCTGGCAGGCCCTGGGTTAGCAGCTGTGGCTGCGGCTGCAGCTGTGCCCTGGGCGGACCCAGCAGGTGCACCTGCCCCAGAAGCCACCTCCTCCAGAGCCTGCTTGGCGAACTCTAGTAGATCAGCCGTCCAATGATCTGTTCGCTTCACCTGCTGCCGGTCCGCGTTGCTGCTGCTGCTGCTGCTGCTGCCACCGCCACCAATGCTGCCGCTGCCACCTATGCCACTGGCGCTGCTAGCGCCACCACCAGAACCTCCTGTAGGACGAACCTGGCACAGTCAGAGCCCAGGACAGAACGGCCCGAGGGGAGAGAGTAGGTGAGATGGGGGAGGGGGAGGGAGGGGGGTTGTTGAAAAAGAGGGGAAGGGAAGGGGCGGAAAGAGGGAAAGAAGGAGGTGAGGTAAGGTGGCTGTTCTGGAGCGACAATACACCATAACAGAGCTAAACAAACGCGCCCCAGATTACGGACCAGTCGCCGCGTCTCAGCTGGTTGAGCAGCACGCAGCGAATGTACCAGGTGGCCCGCGCCATGGGCACCCACTGCTGCACCACCAACCAAACCAATGAATCCAGCAGCAGCTGCTTCGAATCACCCAACGCAGGGTGCTCGGCCCCGTCTCACCTGGTTGAGCAGCACGCAGCGAATGTACCAGGTGGCCCGCGCCATGGGCACCCTCTGCTGCACCAGCGTTTCCAGCAGCTGCCTCTTGCGCAGCCCGTGCGGCACTGCGTCTCCCAGCACCCGCAGCCGCTTGCGACCAGACAGGTCCTGCAACAGGGCCGATTGGGTGGTGGGGGGGGGGGGAGAGGAGATGGAGGAGGGAGAGACGAGACCTTTGGGGAATGGCCAGGTTTTTTTGGAGCCATAGGAGGAAGACGGGGGTTTGAACGAAGCGGAACAGAGGAGCGAAGGTGTGGGAAGGGACAAGGAGAGGGAGAGAGTAAGGGAAGGATGGTTGTGGAGTGGCATAAGGAAGGAGGGGAGGAGGAGAGGAGGGAGAAGGGAGTGCACCTCTATCCATTTGCGGCGTGCATCCTCTGTGAATGTCTTTTGTTCTGGAAAGGCGCCAACACGAGTAAGCATGGCTCCCGACAAAGGGACTCCGTACACTTGCCCCGCCTGATGCCACACACGCACACGCGCGCACACACACACGCACACACACACACACACACACACACACACACACACACACACACACACACACACACACACACACAAAAACACAAAATCCATGAGCAATATCCTGCCAGGGGGACATGCATCTCTCACAAGCAGTGCCTGGTGATCTGCTCTGCACTCCAAGATTTGCCAACTCTCAACAGCAGCACTGCCTGATGAGATTCCTCCGATGGAAGGCAAGTCAGGGTTGAGTGTACCTTGCGCTTGCGAACCAGTGAGTTGTTGAGCGCCCTGAGGCACTTGTGCATGGCCTGGCAGGGGAGAGGGCGAGAGAGCAAGACGCAGTAGTAGACAAGTCCCACGGGATAGACGAAACGAAAGGGTTGAGGAACCAGACGACAGAAGGAGAGACGGAATATCAAATTTGTTTCAGCCAGGTCACGACCGGAAGCGCTAGGATGGATGGATGGATGGATGGATGGATGGATGGATGGATGGATGGATGGATGGATGGATGGATGGATGGATGGATGGATGGAAGAGAGAGTACAAGGGGAGAGCCACGAGCATCAGCTGGAATTGCACGCACGAGGATGAGAAGTAAGCACTGAATTGGACTCCGTGTGAGGCTTGTGGGGATAGAGAAACAAAACGGCTGAGCGGGGTGAGTGCAGAGGTGTTTCCTACGGTTCTGAGGTTGGAGACGTTATGGCGCGTCCAGAACCCCCGTGTGGAGAGCAGCGAATACGTGACCTCCGTGCCCTCCTGCACACACGGTGAATGCACAGCAAGGGCAGCACACCAGGGTGGGTAGCCGCGGGTAGATGTGGGTAGAGCTGGGTAGAGATGGGTAGACGTAGGTAGACGTGGGTAGAGGTGGCAATGTAGGAATGCAACCAATTGGTCGTGGACGGGAGTGCTGGTGAGTAGAGCCGAGCAAGTCAACGGATACAGGGGGGCTCCCAGGCTCCTGATACAGCACGATACAGGGGGGCGGGACGGGGCTCACGTCGACTCCTGGGACGGTTTCTCTGTAGCCGTGCTGGATGACCTTGGGCGTCATCAGCTCCTCCATGTCCCCCTCGTTGGGCGCGTAGAACTCGGGCGGGCCAATTCTGCACCCACAGGTGCAGGCACGCAGCAACGGCGGGAGGGCCGGGGTTGGGCAATTTAGGCGGACGGAATTAAGTGCCCCAGGAAGGTCAGTGCTCGGGGCGCCAAGGAACAACACCTGGTCCTCGGGACTGGGCACCTGGCTTTCAGGGATGACTTTTGCGTCGACTCACAAGTCAAGTCAAGTCACCTTGTTACAATCCCACACGACTCGTTTTTTTTCTCAAGGACCGGCCACCTAGCTTTCAGGATTGAACACCAGGCTCTTAGGGAGTAAAATAAATAACGACGAGTGGCGCAACAGGGAAGGTAGGAGTTGGGCAGGGGAGCAAGTGGGAAGGGGTTATGCCCTTCTTACCTGTTGCTGAGCGGCTCGTGGTCGCAGCGCAATCGATAGGGCACCACCTGGCCTGACCGCCTGCAATCCATGCGAACAGGGGAGAAAGGCGCAACACCATGCATGGCCAGTGCGAGAGAAGCTCGGGATGACTGGGGATGAAAGATGGTGGTGCTGGTGATGGTGCGGCTGCTGGTGGTGGTGGTTGAAGCACATAAACGGGAATACCCAGACTAACAGGAGTTGAGTTGAGTGCGATAATGCGGATTATCTGCGCTTTGAGGCGCCTCAAAACATGCAGATGATCTGGGAAGGAACTGACGCCCTTACCTTGAGCCGAATGCGACCCCTGAGCCGCCACTCCCCGGGTGGTATGCTCCTGCGCGGACATAGCACAGAGCACAGATAGAGGATAGATGGCCATATGAGAAAATATGAGAAAGCGGCGCTACGACAGAATGATGCTAGCGGGAGACGACGCAAGGTCACGAGGCGGACGTTTCCTAGCTAAAGCGACCTGAGACACAGAGAGACCGAGAGAGCGAGAGAGCGAGCGAGCGAGAGAGCGAGAGACCGAGACCGAGACCGAGACTCCTATCGAATGCCACCGAACTATTCTCTCTCGTGATCGTCGTCTTCGCTCAAACCCTAAAAATCGAGCAGCCAACTGGTGACAAGCGCTGCGCTCCTTTGCTCGTCCTGCAAACTGGTCGCAGGATGCTGAGAGGCAGGAAATACTAGGCACGCCACGGGAAAAACTTCGAAGACACCTGGTACGGACGCCGCGACCGATGCTTGTGAGACAAATGTAGACGACGATTTCCTAACGTCACGCTGAATTTAGCCACTTCGTCACGTGCTTCTCGCCCAGCCACAAGTCTCACACGTGGTGAGACCCCCCACCACGAACTACGCGATTCCGTGCGATTTCGTGCGACTTGCGACTTCGTGCCATTTCCCCTAACGAAAAGCCCGCCAGCGATGGCACGCTGCTTCCTAGACTTTTCCCCGCTTGAAGTGCTCGAAGCGTCGAAAAGGGCCCGGGAAACCGCTGGAGCCGAAACGCCGGCTAAACTCTCGCCAAACAACCAGAGCAACAAGATCCGCGCAGCCGGCAGTGGTATTTTTTACTCGACGAGCCGGTCAACAGGTTAGAAGCCACGCGTCGAGCTGGACTAGAACCTTTCCGTGCGACGTTTCTGTAAATAGAGCCAACTGACGCCGCCGCCTCGAAACGAAGTCAATCGGCGCCGGGTAGCTAACCCTAACGAAACTGCCGCAGAACCTAAAACGAGCCCATGAAAAAAAATTCAACGCCCTTATATCGGATACAAGCAGAGCCAGCTTACCCCCTCCATGGCTGCCTGAAGCTGCTGCCGACCCCGAGGTCCGCCGACCCCGCTCAAATCCCAAGGCAGGTCGCGTCATAGCTGCCTCTTTTTTCTCCCTAAGCTGTCGGTCGCTCGCTAGCCCTAGCCTCCTCCCTCCGCTTCAACGCAATTTCCCCAGCCCTGTTTCTGCCGCCAAAAATCGGATCCCGCGATTCTGACATAAGAGAAACGTTCAAGGAACTGACATTTCCCAAACCCTAATCCGACGCCGACCTTCATTTAGTTACCAAGCTTGGCCTTCGCGAGATTACATAGTCTTCATAGTCGAAGGTCAGGCTTCGTAGTCCAGTCAAATTAGTACACTACACACTACATTCGAATCGGAAACCCTAGGTGTGGATAGGAAGGAGTTTGGCGAGATTCGTAGCGAGCGAGTTTGCTAGAGGCACATCTTGACGAGACCCAGACAATTTTGGTTCGGCCCTCTCAAGGGAGGGAGGACACGTGGCCGGCGCGAATGACCCCCTTTTGTTGGTGGCCTCCGTCTCCTGGATCTGTTTTTCCCAAGTCGACACCCTTGTGGAGCTGTCATTGCATCGTGGCCGTCGGTTACATTATCGGACGGATTACCTGACATGACGGAGCGTCAAGGTTGGATGAGATGTGCGAAACCCCATCCTGGAGTCACGCTGAGAGGCGAAGAGATTGAGCATCGAGTCTAAGAGAACCAGTCAAAGCATTCAAATCAGGGCATATAGTGTCAGGGCATTTTTCCTGACCTGACTGAAATTCTAAGATAGTTTATGTACCAGTCTTGATTTTCTCCGGGTCTTTCTCACCCAGCCCTGGAAAATCCGAAAAGGCCTCGAGGCAACTCTGGAACCTCGAGTAGAGTTTTTGCGACCCTGATTTTTTCCTCCCCCCCGCCCCCTTAGAATAGAGTTTCTCCTACTCCCTAACACCCGTCAATCTTCATAGGACCCGTCTACCAGACTATTATAGTTGGGAAGGAGTACTTCCAACACACCCCTAGAACACACGTGACTCCGATGAGCCGCGGAGCGTGGAAAATTCCTTGAAAATGTGCGCCCTCCGAGCCTTTTTTAGGCTGTCCCTGAAAAAACAGAGCATTTCAGATTCGGATCCTGAGTTTTCAGGGTGAAATTCGAACGGAGCCCTGAGCGCCAGAGCTGTTCAAAAACCTAACACACAGTAAGCCCTGATTCCAATCCCAGGGCTGGCGAAACCTCCTTATTCAGTCAGTGGTGACGAGGGTAGTAACGATACAGGTTCGCCATCGTATATCTGCCACTCTCTTTCGCGAATCGTAGCAACCCATTCAAACATTCAAATCGAAGCCCCAACCTTCTCCTCACATGAATATAACGCGGTGTTAGATAATTTTTTGCATCTACAAAACTAATACCTACTATCAAGGCTTGCAAGGATCTGGATAGATAGTGAAGATAGTATCAGAATTGGAATTGTAATGATCATAAAGTGAGAGTACACACAAATATACCTAAGTGTTGTACCCTCTAAGAGATAACCCTATACAGTCTATACAAACATGACAAATACAGATGTTTGACACACCCCCTAGACTGCATAGGGGAATACCCTAAACAAGCAGCTCAGGGCGGCACTACTAGTCCAACCTCTGAGACAAGGGTCTAAAAGACCAGTCAGAAGGAGTACAGACAAGGCAAGAACAAGACCAGGGCGGCACTACTAGTCCAGCCACTGGGAGAGGACACAAGTCCAGTCTGAGTATACATATAAAGGACAGTACAAGTCAAGGTCCTAGCAAGTGAGAAGCGATAGGAACTAGACCAAGCTGTACACAGTGCCGCTGATGATCTTTAGGCGCAAGCGCCTTCGTAAAGATATCAGCTGTGTTGGCACCTAAGCAAGTGTACTACGCGAGCCTGACGTCGCTGCTGTAGCTCACGCAGGAGGAAGTACCGCAGCTGAATGTGATTCGCTCTGCCCTCGAGTCGAGGCTCCTGACACAGGAGGATCATGGCCCTGTTGTCAGCGAACAGGACCGGGGCGGAGCTAGGCCGCTCACCTAAGTCAGTGAGCAAGAAGGTCAGCCAGCGGAGCTCCTGTGCCGCCATGGCACCAGCGTAGATCTCAGCCTCACAGCTGGACTGTGCAACAGACGAGGAGCGAGTAGCTCTCCACGAGACGGCACCTGAGCCAAGGCTGAAGCAGTAGCCCTGAGTCTGCCCACGAAGCGTCTGTGTATCCAGCAAGGACCACTGGTCTGCGTCCTCCAAGCACTAACCCCATGCCCGATGTACTAGCAAGATAACGCAGAACCCTCTTAGTGGCAGACCAGTGCTGCGGTCGGTGTCTGCCTGTGGCCACAAAGCGCGCCAGGATGCTAAGAGGGTATGCGAGATCTGGGCGAGTGCAAGTCATCAGGTACATGAGGCAACCCACCAGCTCTGCGTAGGGGCCGCTGGGCTCTACCAACTCCTCAGGTACTGGAGCGGAGAGTCTGTGGTCTACAGGCAGAGGGGTGGGCTGTGCAGAGGAGAACTGAAGGCTAAACCTCTGAAGGACCTGGCGCACCAAGTGTGACTGTGTCAGAGTGATGGTGCGCGCAGCTCTGTCCCTGGAGATCTGCAAGCCAAGGTAAAGGCGCAGTTCTCCAAGGTCAGTGCAGGTGTGTCTCTTCAGCAGCTCTGCCTTCACGGAGGCCAGTGCGTCCCTGTCTGCCGTGGCAAAGACCAGGTCGTCGACGTAAACAAGGATGTAGAACGGAGTCTGGCCAGCACGAACGAAGAGTGAAGGGTCTGCGGAAGACGGAAAGAACTGCAGGTCAGCAAGGGTAGCACGGAGAGTGTCGTGCCACTCACGGGGAGCCTGGCGCAGGCCGTAGACGGGGCGCCGCAGGAGCCACTGGGTCCCAGGAGGGAAGGTGCCAGTAAAGCCCGGAGGGCGACGCAGGTAGACCTGCTCGTGTAGACTGACCTGAAGGAAGGCAGTGGAGAAGTCGAGGGAGTGAAGCTCGTAGTCACGCTGAGCAGCTAGGTGTAACAGAACCCGAAGAGTAGTCATCTTCGGGGTCGGAGCGAAAGTCTGGAAGAAGTCCACCCCCTCGCGCTGACTGAAGCCTCTAGCCACATAGCGCGCCTTGAAGACAGGCGGCTCTCCAGGAGGGCGCTTCACCTTGAAGAGCCAGCGGCCATCGACTACGTTCACCCCAGGTGGGGGAACTGCGTCGACGAAGGTGCCGGTGGATCTCCAAGATGCCATCTCCTGCTCCATGGCAGCTATCCACTGCGAGGCCCAGGGTCCCGAAGTCGCCTCAGCGTAAGTGCGAGGGGTCGGGATGTCGAAAGCGTCTGGGTCACCCTCAGGGACTAGCAGCATGGAACAGAGATGGGGAGCAGCCTCGGAGAGGAAAGCAAGCTCGAACGGGCGGTCCTCCAGGACGTCACTGACAAGGGCAGGAGCACCCCCGACAGACGGAGGACAGGCAGGGTCAGAGACCAGAGCGGTAGCGTAGTCAAGGAGGCGGGTAGAGGCGAAGTCAGCGACAGCAGCGACAAGAGCGGCAAGGCACGAGACCGGAACAGACGGGTCGGTAACGAGAGAGGCAAGGACCCGAGGAACGAGAGGACGAGCGGCACGAAGGTAGTCGGACAGCGGGGGGGGCGCAACAACAAGGGAGGACGGAGGAGGCGACGGGAGAAGGGGAGGACGAGACGCGTGGGAACGAAGCAACATAGGGTGGGAGCGCAAGACAGGGGAGGCAGGACGAGCACGGGAGGGACAGTGAGACCAGACATGAGACGGAGGAGTCGGGTCAGGAGACAGGGGAGGGGACACAGGAGGGGAACGAGGGGGGAGACGAGCCGGGGACGAGTCCGGCGGAGGGAAAACAGGGCCGTAGACAGGAAGAGGAGGAGACGGTCGGGGAGGAACCGACGCAGGGTCGGGGAACGGAAGGCCGAGCAGGCGAAGGGCGACACCGGCGGGGACCGCTGCTGCGGCGGCACAACGTCGACACCTGGACCGCAAGCTGCTCCTCGGCGACCACCGGCACTCTCCACACCAGCACCCCCAGAGGGACCACCCCCAGGGCGACCGGGACGAGCACCCCCAGAGTCAGCGAACGGGGGCTGCGACGGCGGCGGCGGCGGCGACGACGACGGCTGCAGCAGCGGTAGTGGCGGTGGAGGAGGGGACTGGGGAGGGGACACCTGGGGAGGGGCGGCCGGCGAGGAGTGCACAAGAGGGCCACCAGAGTCAGAAGACTCCTCAACCGGGTCCACCGACGGAAGGGGGGTGACGTGGGACACACCAGAGGGGGCGGGACGGGGAGGAGGAGGAGGAGCGGAAGGGACTACCGGGGAAGGAGTGACCAGGAACAGGGGGGGGTAACCGGGGGACCACGGTGGGGAAAGCGGCGGTAGTAGGAGACAGACTCGTCACAGGTGACGTCACGAGAGTGAAAGAAGCGGTGAGACGGCGGGTGGTAAAAGTGCCAGTCGGACGCGTCAAGGGGAAAACCGAGGAAGACGCAGGGAAGGGTGCGGGCAGTGAGCTTGTCCGTGCCGGAGGCACGGACGTGAGCAAGGCAGCCCCAGACGTGGAGCGCAGACGCGTCACCAGGGGACCCATTCCAAAGACGGGTCGGCGAAACCTGCGGCTGCTGAGGGTGCGGCCACAGGTTAAGCTGGTGAGAAGCGTAGCGCACAGCGAACGGCCACAGAAAATGGGGTGCACCGGCATGGATCATGGAGGTGCGAGCGACCTCCATGACCAAACCGATGCGTCGCTCAGCGACCCCATTCTGCTGTGGGGAGTCCGGTAGGGTGAACGTCTGTGTGATGCCCTCCGCACGACAAAAGCGACCAAGGACACCGGAGGCAAACTCGCCACCACGGTCTGAGTGAAGACGCAAGACAGGGAGACCGCGGTGGACACGCGCAGAGACAAGCCAGGGGATGAGAGCGCCAGGCACATCGGCCTTGCGCTCCAGGGGAAAGACTGTGGTGTAACGAGTGAAGTCGTCGACAAGCACAAGGAAGTAGCGCTCTCGACGCGGCCCAGGGACGGGGGCGGGGCCCCAGACGTCCAGGTGCAGGGTCTGCAGCGGCGCGGCGGTAGGGGGAAACGAGGAGGAGTGAGGGGCACGGCGAAGCCGACCCTCGACACAAGGCGTGCAAGGTGGGGCTGGAGAGGAGGGAAACGCGGGGAGCGAACCTGGGAGACCAAGGACGAGACCGTGCTGAGACATGTGACGCAGACGCGGGAGCGCAGGGTGACCTAGGCGGTGGTGCCACAGGAGGGTCGGGTGAGTGAGTGAGCGACAGGAGCAGGCAGCAGCAACCTGGGTAGACGCAGCCACCTGAGGGGGCGCTCCAGCCGGGGGGGCCACGGTGTCCAGAGTGAACAGGCCGGACACCGGGTCCCGGGGGAACGTGGACAAGGGGGCACCAGTGGCGGCCTCGGTACAGACAGCATACCGCTCGTGACCAGGGAACGTAGTGGTGACGCCAAGGTCCTGGAGGCAGCCGACACCAACTAGGTTCCTGGAGAACGAGGGGATATGCAGACCTGTAAGAGAACCCGAAGGAACCGCCGGACAGGGAAGGGTGGTGGAACTGCGGGCGACTACCGGACCGCCGGAGGGGTTAGCAAGAGAAACGACAGCAGGAACAGGAAGCGGCGTCAGGGTGGTGGAGTCGCGGAAGAAACACCGAGAGGCGCCAGAGTCCAAGGTGAAGGAAAGCGAAGCAAAGGCGTCTGGCGACGGAATGACGGCGGAAGCACCAAGACTACACAAAGCAGGGGATCCTACGCCTGACGCAGCAGGGGAGGCTAAGCTAGGCACACCTACACTAGGCAACAGTGAGTAATAGGCGGGAAGCACACTAGAGTCATCAGCATACATCACATGCAGAGCAGAAACAATGGCATCCATGTCCATGTCAAAAATCGGAATCTTACGACTAAGCAAACTGTGTCAGTCCGGGAGGTCTGGCGACGGGCCGAAGTGCTGACGAAAGAGGTTGTCCAGGCGACGAAAACAGCGGGGAGTGGAGTGACCGAGCTTACCGCAAACGAAGCCGCGGCGAGGACCGGTCTGAAGCTGGTACTGACAACGCCCGCCGCCAGAGCCACCACTCGGCACACCACCACGCGCCCGGCCACCGCCAGCGCCGGGCCACCCGGGCGGGAGGACACTCGTCTGCCGCGTCTGCGACGGCTGTTGCGGCTGCTGCGAAGGCTGCGACTGCGGCGGCTGCTGCGGCTGCTGCAACTGCAGGGGCGGCGACTCAGCTGAACTGGGCAGGGTCCCCTCGTCCACTCCAGCACCAGGCGACCCGACCCCACCACTACCCCCGCCCGCACCCCCGCCGCCTCCTCCGCCGCGCCCAGCCTTGGGGCGGCGACCCTTCCCTGAACGGACCTGCGCTGCAGCAGCAGTCTCAGCCACTGCGGCAGAGCCGTCGGAGAAGGTGCACTGAGCGGGGGCACAACCCTGAAAGATAGGGACCGGCACGACACCGCTCGCCTGGGCAATGGAGCGGTGACGGGTCTCTATCACAGTCAGGGTGTCTACAAAGTCAGTGAGGGTGAGGTCTGCGGGGTGAACGCTAAGAAAGCGGTCGCGGGCGACAGCAAGGCGGTCACGGAGGCGGGTGGCAAGCAGGTAGAGGGTAGAGGTAATGGGCGGTTGGTGGGCTCTAAGCTGGGCGTCAGTGCAGGCAGCGCGCCAGGTCTCATCTATCGAGCGCAGGTGGGCAGCGAGGTCAAAGACAGTGGGGAAAGATGCAAGGTCAGGAAAGAGCATCGGAAGGATCAGGCGACCCACCGAGGCAGCCGGAGGGGTGGAATAGCGCTTGATCACAGCATCTAAGTATGCCTGAGCAGTAGTGAGGGACCTAAAGCGAGGACGCTCGGATGGGGGAAGGGCGTTGCTAATGGCAAGCTGGGCAACAGCATCGCGAGAAAGCCAGACAGAGCGCGCACGAGCAGTGGCAGTAGCCTCACGCTCAGTGGGTGTGGGGTCAGCGGGCAGAATAGCAGGGGGGTCTGGGCAGGGGAGCGTACCGTCAAGGTGTGCCGAAAGCGGTTCACCATCCTGCCGCTGGCCAGTGAGTTGACGGCGGAGGTCGGCAAGCCACGCCTCGAACTCTAGGGGCTGACCATCAGCGTCGAAGCGAAGCTCCGCCGCCATCAGGAACAGTCCAGTGCAGTGCAGGGCAGTGCAGTGCGGTGCAGTGCGGTGCAGTGCGATGCAGTGCGGTACAGTGCGGTGTTGTGCGGTGCCAGGCAGTACAGTGTGGTGCGGGGCGGCACGGAGCAGGGCGGGGTGGGGGGGAACCGTACCAGTGAGGAGGACGGGGCCGGGGCTGGCCCGACGGGGCCGGGCGGGCGCAACGGGGCCGGGCTGGTGCGACAGGGCCGGGACGGGGCGACGGGGCCGAGCGGGCGCGACGGGGCCGGGCTGGGGCGACGGGGCCGGGCGAGTGCGGCAGGGCCGGGCCGGTGCGACGGGGCCGGGCGAGCGGGACGGCGGCCGGGCGGGTGCGACGGGGCCGGGCGGCTGTGACGGGGCCGGGCAGGGTGGGACGGGGCCGGGCGGGGGCGACGGGGCCGGACGGCTGCGACGGGGCCAGGCAAGGGCGACGGGGCCAGGCGGCTGCGACGGGGCCGGGCGGGCGTGACGGGGCCGGGCGGGTGCGGCGGCGCCGGGCGGGCGCGACGGAGCCGGGCGGCTGCGACGGCGCCGGGCGGGCGCGACGGGGCCGGGCGGCTGCGACGGGGTCGGGCAGGGTGCGACGGGGCCTAGGAGGGGCGCTACAGGGCCCAGGGAGGGCGCGACGGGGCCCAGTAGGGGCGCGACGGGGCCTGGGAGGGGCGCGACGGGGCCCGGGAGGGGCGCGACAGAACCCAGGAGGGGCGCTACGGGGCCTGGGAGGAGCGCGACGGGGCCTGGGAGGGGCGCGACGGGGCCTAGGAGGGGCGTTACAGGGCCCAGGAGGGGCGCTACGAAGCCCAGGAGGGGCGCGACGAGGCCCAGGAGGGGCGCTACGGGGCCCAGGAGGGGCGCGACGGGGCGCTACGAGGCCTGAGAGGAGCGCGACGGGGCCCAGGAGGGGCGCTAGGGGGCCTGGGAGGAGCGCGACGGGGCCTGGGAGGGGCGCGACGGGGTCTGGGAGGAGCGTTACAGGGCCCAGGAGGGGCGCTACGAAGCCCAGGAGGGGCGCGACAAGGCCCAGGAGGGGCGCTACGGGGCCCAGGAGGGGCGCGACAGGGCGCTACGGGGCCTGGGAGGAGCGCGACGGGGCCCAGGAGGGGCGCTAGGGGGAATGAGCGGAAGCGGTAGGTGGGGGGGATCCTACCTACGCGTGATACCATATCAGAATTGGAATTGTCATGATCGTAAAGTGAGAGTACACACAAATATACCTAAGTGTTGTACCCTCTAAGAGATAACCCTATACAGTCTATACAAACATAACAAATATAGATGTTTAACAGATATGTTGGATTGTTTGGCACAATGTCACATGTTTGTGTACAGGTTGGTCTTTCTACCCTCACAATTACTCATGACGTCTGAAGTTGTTTTCTTGGAAACATTCAGACATTCAGAAGGAAAACATACATTCTTGCTGTATTTCTCATTCATTCAGAAAACGTGACACAGCCCTTCCCGACTCCAATAGACTTCCCAAATTCCGAGAGCACTAACTACACAGGCCAAGTAGAAAAATGATTATTCCCTTGGTTTATTCGGAGCGTGCAGCATATCGCTCCTTGATGTCAAACGAGCAGTTAATCCCCACCATTGCCTCTCCCAACCCACAGCTCACCTCTGCTACCACCTTAGGATCTGTCCAGGACACAGGCAGCAGACATGCCAAGGCATGGGTGGGATGAAACGGGTGGTGAAGGGCAAGAGATTGATAAGCAAGGGGGTCAATGCAGAACGGGGAGAAGAGGCAGACGGACAGAGGGGGGCATGGTGAGTCACAGCATGCAGTGATCTACGGTCACGAACCGCACATAGCTACCTCTCAGTCACCCACTACTGCACTAAAACACGACCCTTTCCTTGCACGGGCCTGCATGTAAAACAGCAGCACGCCAGCTGCATGTAAGCCAGTGAACAACTGTTACAATGTTTAGCTTTCAAGCGCGCACCAGTGTAATGTGTGACAGCCTGCACAATGGCGCGCGCACGCTTTGCTGGGTCCCCACTCTTGAAAATGCCCTGCAGAACCACGGAGAGGGCAGAGCCGGGAAGAGGGGCAGGCAGGGGAGGCAGGGAGGGAGCCATGTAGAGGTGTCAAAAGACAAGGGCATCGCGATCAAGCGATCATGACTATGGAGAGACCAAGAGGAGAGGAAGGCACAGGGACCAGGGAGCAGAGCAGCAATGACAGCAGAAACAGCCTCAAGCATGATCTCTAAAAGGGGTTGAGACTTGCTTGAGCTCCTCCTGACGCACCCATCCAGGTCAAACATGGTGGTGGTACAGTATTACAGCACAGGCAGGCTCTTCTCAGACGATAATGGCCCCTAGGACATGAAAGCTCCCGTGGTGAGCAAGAGAGAGGGGGGGCTGTGGGTAGGGCGGGAGGGAGGACGCGGCAGAGGGACAGACAGCGGCTGGCAACCGTGCCGAACGTGCCGATACACCATCACATCATACCACCCCGGTCAGCTACATCATTGTGACTGCACAGGCAAGCAGCTACCACTGCAAACCAACAATGGGACCAAACCCCGGGAACCAGGTAGGGAGAGAAGCTACCGCAGGCAGTACCACAGGCCTTACCGAGCCTTGAAAGACGCCGCCGCAACCCAACTGCATCATCATGGAGGCGTCCGCGGGGATACATAGGACAGGATACCGGCCGCTCCAAAACCAGACGATTCGCCTCGGCGGAGGATTGAAATCTCAGGCTTAAGCTTACCGAGCCCACGAAGACGCCGTCACACCCCAGCTGCATCATCATGGCGGCGTCCGCGGGCGTGGCCACGCCGCCCGCCGCGAAGTTGACCACCGGCAGCCTCCCCAGCTCCCGCGTCTGCTTCACCAGATCCAGCGGCGCGCGCAGCTGCGCTCATGCCGGGAGGGGGGAGCGGCGGAGGGGAGGGGGGGAGGGGGGGGGGGGGGAGGGGAGTGGGAGGACGGAGAGGCCGAGGGAGAATGGGAAGGGGGGGAGGGGAGGACGGGGGGAGAAAAAAGAGTGGTGGTTAGCGAGAGAAAGGGAGAGGGGGCGGGCATGCTACAGGCGAGAAGGGGGGGAGAGGCCTGGGAGCAGGAAGGCTGCGAGCAGCAGACGGCACTCTTTGATTCGGAGCCAGCCCCGGGTCCAGTTATATCCAGCCCCGTGTAACTGGGAATAACAAAATATGGATGGGAGTATGCTGTACGCGATTCATTCTTCTCGAATGCAGTAAATTCTGGAGCTTCACATGCATTCAGGGCGTTAAGCAGCCATTCCCAGAGAGCCCACACTTCAACAGGCAATCCTCAACTCACAATCCCCTAATCTGAACCGCCTCGAACGCCCCTATCCAATATCCCCAAACGCATCTACAGCCCTGACCCATACTTATCCTTCTCCACACAATACCAAGTAAAAGTATACAAGCTAAAACCCCGAATCTTCACGGCCACACGTACCTCCTTCGCAAACACATAGAGCTCGTCCTCGTCAAGCGCCTTGAGCCGTCGGATCTCCCCTTGCACGGATCGGACGTGCCTCACAGCCTCGATGACATCCCCCGTGCCCGCCTCCCCCTTGGTGCGGATCATGGCCGCGCCTTCCGCCACGCGGCGGAGGGCCTCCCCCAGGTTGCGGCAGCCGCAGACGAAGGGCACGGCGAAGCGGTGCTTGTTGATGTGGTTCACGTCGTCCGCGGGCGTGAGCACCTCCGACTCGTCAATGTAATCCACGCCGATCGCCTCAAGGATCTGCGCCTCCACGAAGTGGCCGATGCGCGCCTGAGCGGATGGAGGGAGGGAGGGAGGGAGGGAGGGAGGGTGGTTGGGCGAGGGAGACACGGAGGGAGCGAGAGAGGGTGGGACGAAGGGCACGGCGAAGCGGTGCTTGTAGATGAGATGTTGTCCGCGGACGTCGGCACCTCTGACTCGTCGACGTAGTCCACGCTGATCGCCTCGAGGACCTGCGCCTCCACTAAGTGACCGGTGCGGGCCTTGTGGTTGGGAGGGAGGGAGGGTGGGACGAAGGGTTCGGCGAGGCGGTGCTTGATGATGTGGCTGACAATCGTCAGCGGGCGTAAGCGCCTCGAGGATCTGCGCCTCGACGAAGTAGCCGATTCGGGCGAAGAGGGAGAGAGGCGGAAAGGGAGAGGCGGAGAAGGGGAGAGATGCTCGTTGGAGTGGCGGTTTCGCGTCGTCGGCGGGCGTGGGAATCGCTGAGATGTGCGCCCCCACGGAATGACCGACACGAACACGACGGGAGGAGGGGAGCGCGACGGGTGGAGGGGAGCGCGACGGGTGGAGGGGGGAGCGCGACGGGTGGAGGGGAGCGCGACGGGTGGAGGGGAGCGCGACAAGCGAGAATTGGGAAAATAAGCAAGAACATAAAGGAAGAGAAAGGCCGAGGAGAGGTAGAGGAATCGCGGCGGGGCCACGCATTCTACCAGTGATTTGAGATGGATCTGTGCGGTTTGACAATACTTTCTGTCCGACGCGGCAAGGACTCCACGTAGAGAACACCGGCGGCCGGCCAGCGAAAAGAATCCCACCGACAGCACCACAGTTCTTTGCCACGCATTCCGCTCGCGAAAGGCACGCGAGGTCCGCATGTTCAACCCCATCGAGACGTGGATTGTGACGTGGGTTGACAAAGCTAAGGACACTGCCGTCGGCCGGCCAACAACGACATGACACCAGCAGCAACACGCCAGGTTTCTTTCCATCATCACCTCAGGCACGACTACACCCCATTGAGGGGGGGCGTTTCGCTCCTTAGCCATGGAGACGCAGCCGTTTCGCACCTCAGCCATGACGGGGGTCGTGCCGTACCTTAGCCATAACAGGGATGGTGACGGCCTTCTTGATCTCCTTAATCATCTCCGGATCGCTCATGCGCGCCACGCCGCCCTGCGCGCGGATGTCGGCGGGCACCCGCTCGAGCGCCATCACTGCGGAGAGACGGTCGAGCAGGGGAACGGAGAGAGCAGGGAGCTCGAAAGAGGCGATATCACACCGGCCCAAGCCGGATCTGAGGGAGCACCGAGAATTTCAAATGGATCCACCGTAACCTGCTAGCTGTGTGGGATTTGCGGTTACTAAGGAGTTCGCCGATCACTGCAGATTAAGACAGCTGTTGGATCGCAAAGATCGGTGCTACGCGTAACCACGCGCGCCTGATTCCGCGGATCACGGCAGATCCTCAGCAACAAATCTCGTACCCGAACCCGATAGATCATAGATTTAAGGGACATGAGGAGCCTTGCAGAGCCTCAACCCATCACCTGGTGTATCTGCACCTCCTTTACACGCCGACCGTCACTCCGGCCTCACCTGCGACGGCGCCCGCCTCCTCCGCGATGCGCGCTTGCTCGACGTTGACCACGTCCATGATCACGCCGCCCTTGAGCATCTGCGCGAGCCCCGCCTTCACCGAGAACGTGCCAGCGCCGCCCGCCTCTGCATTGTAGGTCGCGACGACCCCGTTTCCGTTTCCGCTCATGGTGTCGCGGGATTTGCGGGTGATCGCGCGGGGATCTGTGGCGCGTGAGCGGGGTTGAGACTTTCGGAGGCACGGGTTTAGATCGCGCGAGGAGAGAACCGCGAGGAGTGAAAGAACTGGAGAGAAGGTTAAAGAGCGGACTGGTGACTAAGGAGGAACGAGAAGCTCTGAAGTCGCACAGGAGTGGTGAGACTGTATTTTGACAAAGCTTCCGGATGATCAGTCAGGGGATTCCAAGAGGTTTTAGAGCGACAGGCTTGAGGAAAAACAGGCGGGCGAAGGGATACAGTCCAGGCTCTCAGCGGAGGGATGGGAGGGAAGGCGGGGGAGAGGGAACCAGGGGAAAGGAGGGTCTACACGCGGAAGAGTGCGTCTCACGTCACAGGACAGGGGGAGTGGAGGGCCTTGGGATTGGTGCTGCGGAAGGGGGGGGCGGGGGAGTGAAGCTATGCACGCAACGGGCAGCGCTGGCCTCGGGAATGTCGGCATTGGGGGGATTTTAGGGAGGGAGGGGGGGGAGGATCAGGGATATGGTTGCACACAATTGAGAGAGGAGGGATGTGACAATGCGATGTGTGCATGTGTGTGCTAGTGTGACAACTTCGAGGTCTGTCAGGCAGCCACGATTGGCCGAGTGGCCCCCAAACCAGAGTTTCGAGGTTCGGTGGGAGTGGTTGACGTGGCAAAGGAAGGGAGGCCACGGCAAGGCTGACGCAGCCAGCAAAAGTTTCTTGCCGCTGCGGCAGAAGGTGCCAGCGGAAGGGCGCACGAGGGAGGGGAAGGGCCTCCACGTAGCGAGGGGAACTTCTGTGCCATTGGCGGCGGCATTTGACAGGCCAGATATCGACGTGGCCTGCGGGAGTAGTGGCGCGTCCGCGGTTCATGAATGGTGCCACGGGATCAAGCGCTAAATTTGGCGCAGAAGATGTATGCACAGAGGCGCCACGTCATCCGCAACTCCTCGAAGTTGGCGGCCCCCTTGTGGATTTGCGAGTCTATTCGACTGGTACACCAAAAATCTTTAAAAAACGACCTCGCAAAGACAGAAACCAATACACAAATCTCCTTTCACAATGCTAAGTACAGCCTTTCATGAATCATCCTCCCCATCTGGATCATCCCCCAAGTCAATTTCATTTGGATCAGCCGCTTTGCAAGCATGTGCACCATTGTTCCTAGTCTCTTCATCTCCTTGCTCGTCACCCTTGCCACCATGCCCATTTTGCCAGTAGCTTCCTCTTGGCCCCTCGTCTTGTGCATCCCCATCCCCATCTCCATCAGCAGGTATGCTGTCAGGATCCTCGAAGGTGTCTGGCGGGCACGAATCACTGTTCCATGTGCCTGAATTGACCATGCAAAAACAAAAAGGCCAGCACAAGAGAAGAGGTACAGTGGGGGAGGCGGTCCGCGGAGGATTGGAACGGGAGTTGGAGAAAGGAAAGAAACCACCTAAAGAGGGCTAACAGGGGTTGCATTGCAAGTAACATCCAAAGTGGCATGCAAATGTGCCATAGCTCGGCCAGGAGAATGCGGGCGTCGAAAAGAAATCCAGAAAGTGTGACATACTGGGACTGGCAGCTGGTGGCAGCGCTGGGGAGGGCGACGGGGCTCCTCCACGCAGGAAGGTGGAGTGAGGCAGATCCAGCAAGTCAAGAAAGGTTGCCGTCTGGGGGTTTAGGACCGTGGCTGTCATATGGGGCAGGGAGGAGGTTGAGGGAGTGAGAAAGGGAGACCTGGAAAAGTAGCACTGCAGTCCTCAAACGAGCACATCAACACATTGGAAATGTGAGCAGCAGCCGTCCCCACCCTTCTCCTCAACCCACCCACACTCAGAGAAGGGCGATGGGACCATACAGAAAGAGAGAGGTGCATGTGCATGCGTCTTGCACGGGGGGGTCATGGGACGGAGCTGTGGGATTGACGCTCATGGGGATGCAAGGAAGCACCAACCCCCGCCTTCCCCCTAACAACCATCCAAGCATCCACCCACATGTTCAGAACCGTACAGGAGGTGGTGGGTGCACGTGCATGCAGCCGGTCGGGGTCGTGGGGCGGTGCGGTGGGGGTGAAGTTGGTGGGGATGACAGAACCATTCGGCTGCTGGGAGAGGCGCTGGGTCACCCACTCTAGGTGTGGCTGCACGGAAACCCCTCCTGGACTGGTGGCCGCCAGGAAAGGGGGTAAGGGGGGGGGGAGGAGAGAAGGTGGGAGGGGAGGGGCGGAGGGTGGAGGTAAGGGGGGAGGGAGGGGGGGGAAGGGCTAGCAGCTGATTCAGAGGTAGGGAAAGGTTGCTGCAAGGGTGGTTCCAGGCTCCAGCATGTCCAAGGTGACTTTTGAGTCGACTCAAAAGTCACGTCAGGAGCGGCTGTTTTGAAGAGCACGCATTCACTGGGTGTTGCTTTCGAGTCGACTCGGAAGCAGGTGCAGCGCTGATATGAGGAGGGTTTGTTCATTCAATCATGGAGAGCTGCCGTGGTTTTGCCTCTGGCAGCAGCAGCACGCACACACAACCGCTGCTGCTGGATCTGCTAGTCCGTGCGATGGAGAGCCCTGGTCTGTTTGTCATTGGGGTTTTCTGCTCCTCAAGTCAAGCTGATCAAGCAAAGCCGAATGACAACCACAGCAAGCGAGTCAAGCTCATCAGGTGGTTTGCTCTCGAGGGGCAGGAGGAGGCGACATGACAAGAGCACTCACGGGTAGAAGGCGCCAGCATGGGTTAGGGGCAAGTAGGGTGCGTAGGCCCGAGTGACCGCCAGCCACTGGGGATCATACTCCAGGACAGGCGCGTCGCCTTGGGACGGGGAGATGTCAGGGAAATCAACCACCTGGGTGCACGCCGGCGAGTGTGTGTATGCAGGCATGTGTGTGTGTGTGTGTGTGTGTGTGTGTGTGTGTGTGTGTTGGGGGGGAGAGAGGGAGTCAAAGAAGGAAGAGAGGCAATGCCAGTTGTCAAGCTCCCCATACGCGCACTAGAGCGAGAGTCTATACATGCACCCCATACATAAGTGCACCCGATACCTGCACCCCATACATACATGCACCCCATACATGCACCCGCTGTCCCCTCCCTCCCTTAGCCATTCGCACCTGCAGGAACTGTCTGCCAGGAAGGCACTTATCCAGAGCAAGGAAGCGAATGGTGTGTGTGTGTGGGTGATACAAAGAGAGTGAGTGAGAGAGAGGGATCGAGAGAATGGCAGAGAGAACAAGAGTTGACACTGCGAGCCCACGCACCTGCAGGAACTGTCTGCCAGGAAGGCACTTGTCTAGGGCAAGGAACCGAGTCACAGAGGGGCCAGGCGCGGAGGAGGACAGGGATACACCACCACCACCACCACCACCACTTGAAGCGCCACCAGCAGCAGCAGGGTGTTTCACAACAGCAGAGAACTTCACATGCAAGTGAGCGGAGAACCAGTACGACGGCCGCAGCGTGTGCAGCAGCGTCTCTCCCGCAGGGCTCCCAAGCGCATTCCTCTCCACCTCGCCCCGGAAAAATGGCTTGGTACGCAGCAGAGAGGCTGTGTCACCATGCCGCTCCACGCCCCTCGGCCAGTCATGTGAGAGGAACACGTCGATCGGGGGGGCGGGGAGGGAGGAGGGGAGGGAGGAGGGGAGAGAGCAGGAGGCGGAGGGCGAAGGGAGGGAGGCGAGGGATGCAAGGCGGGTGACGTCGTACTCTCGCACGTGGTAGATGGAGCGCAGCTGGGAGTCGTTCAGGGGGGGTCGCTCGTAGTGACCTGGAGACAGGAAGGTGGGGAAAAGAGGAGAAAGAGGAGCGAGAGGAGAAAGAGGAGAAACAAGGAATCAAAGGGAGGAACGAGAGGAAGAAGAAGATGAAGAGGCAGGGGTAGAGCCCCACAAAATGCATCAGTCCAGCAAAGCCTAAATCTGTTTCCGCTCGGCCCCTTGGACTACACCCCTGGTAGCCGTGCCCCTTGGAGATCCGCGACATCCCTGCTATGCCTTCTACCCCACTGTAGACACCTGACAGCCCTGCTATGCGCAGCCCCGGATTGCACACCATTCCCGCCAAGCCTCGGATAGGAGATAGGTGTGCCAAGAACAAGGACCCTACCCTTGCCCCAACAAGGGACTTCCCTCACCTACCTAGCCGGTAATCATGCCCCTTGTAGATCCCCGACAGTCCTGCTATGCTAAGCGCAGCCATCCACAACACACAACCCCCTCCTTCCCCCCTCCTTCCTTTCTCTCCCCTACCTAGCCGGTAATCGTGCCCCTTGTAAATCCCCGACAGCCCTGCTATGCGCAGCCCTCCAAAGCGCACCACGCCTGCAAAGCCCAGGAAATATATGCTGGGTGCTGCCCATCCCCCAAAGTAGCTGCAGGCGGATGGGTGGGGGGGGGTTAGGGGGAGGGACAAGGGGAGGGAGAGAGAGAGAGAGAGCGAGAGAGAGAGGGACGGGCGGGGAAACGAATGAGCCAAGGGAAGAGTCTTCTGTGTTAGAATGATACAGGCGTTGCTGTATCACGATTCACGAGAGAGGGGGCAGGCAATGCTATATCAATCACGATTGCTTCTTTTGAGGCGCCTCAAATATTGGACATGCTATGCCATGATTGACGCACGTAAACATGCAAGCCAACAAGCCCTCGCTGTCTCTCCCCTTACCCCTTTCCCCTTTTCCTCTCTCCCCTCTCCTCCTCTCCCCTTCTCCCCCCCATCTCCCCCTTCCCACTTCCCCCCGAACCACTCACAGGTCCCAGAGATAGTTCGACGCCTCATGGTTGCCGCCCACGAAGATGGTCGGCACGGGCGGCGTCTCTCGTCCCGCATAGTACTTCCAGAAGCTGTTCATGCTGCGGTACTTGGGCGGGCACGCCAGGGACTCCAGGTCACCGGTGTTGCGGATGGCCTGGCATGGGGTGGGAACAGGGGGGAAAAGGCGGATTGGGGGAAGGGGGGGGGGGAGGGGGGAGGGAGAGTGGGGGGAGGGGGGGGGCAGAAGGGGGAAAATGAATCATGTGAGGCGCCTCAGAAGCTGATCACGTCACGCTGCGGTGAGCGAGCATGCCAG